CCAAGAAAGGTGTAGAACATTTGGCAACTCTACGAAGTCTTATCCAACACAGCCTCTAGTTTTGTGGAGAATGTTTAAAATAATACAAGAACATTAGATTCTATAGAACCCAAGTCTATCATAAGAAGTTCCGGAAAGTCCTTCTCATACTTTTACCGGTGAACCTTTTTGCTAGAGCTGAGCGCTTAGAACCATACCCTTCCACTAAGTCTGACCGACTTAAGAGCCAAGACAGGACTAATACCATTTGCTGTTATTAGGACGAAAGAATCTCTTTCTCACTAATCACAAGAGTTATATTAGAAATGTTCTCTGGAAAAAGTTGAGAGCATGTGCTTCTCAGGATTACCAGTCCTTCAGGGCTACCATAGTACTATCACAGGTTAGGAAGGATAAACTAGTGGATTGCAAAATCAAACCCAATTCTTACTGATCAAATTTCATATAAACTAAACCTTTGAATAAATTGTATTATCTTGATCAGCAAGCCATGAAATACAAATTATCATATTTAAAACATGAAGGCAGAAAATGTTTTAATCATTGAAATAAGCCGACCGTATTTAAATTCTTAGTTTCTAACATTCTTTAAATTTGATATTTGCTTTTATGATTTTTTTGCAATAAATTAATTTTACGAGCAATTTGATTTCATTTAAAATCGGATAAATTGAAATTAAGATGTAATTTGTACTTTTTGTTGGGGTTGCCCTTCTTCAGAATAAGTAGTTTCGATTAGGATTAATTAATAATCTAGATTTATGTATTCTTTTGGATGAAATACTAGTAGTCCATCTCAACTTCTAATTTAAGATTGGATAACTATCTATAGGTTTCAGCAGGTTTTCAGAAAAGGGTTCACAAAATATTGGGACTTATTCTATTTGCTGGAATAAAAAGAAACAAAATTAAATTTGTTTGCATTTTAAACATTAAATATCACTCAAATGTGTTTTATTCATTAATAAAAATATTGCCACTATACTATCTAATTTTGAATAAGAAAAATATGAAGATTATCCATAGTATTTTATTTCTATTTCAATCTTTTATCAGAATAAACAACCATCATAATATACAATTTAAACCAAAACAAAGTTAATAAATGATATACCTGCACTTTTCAAAGATATTACTCATGAAGTAGTAGGGAAAATAGAATGTAAGACTGCAACTTAGATTATTGAAGATATTCCACAATTTTCAGTTAGGGTCAGCAAATATATTTTCAAACTTTGAGAACCTTTTATTAGGTTCTTTTATCGAATCCCAATATTCAGGATCTGCATATACGTGATAAATAATAATTACTCATTTTGGGATAGGGCTATTCAACTGGCACAATAACGTATTTGAGTATCCAAGATTTATGATAAAAGGATGGTTAAAATTACTATTTGTTATGAAATCACTCTCGCTACTTTAATAATTAAGTAACAAAAATAAAAATTACGAGAATGATACCATCAAAATATCACTCTCTAAAAACAAATGGATTTCAATTAATTACTTTTTTATGTAATTTTCCTCCTTCAAATAGGACACTAATACTACCATATATAGGTTAGTGATTTTGAAGCATAATATTTGGAATTATTCATTTAGTGGCATTATATTTATATGAAATTGGAACTTGCACTAACAAAGATAAGCCAACTTTAAAATATATTATTCATCACTATTAGTTAAGTTGTAAGGTTACAAATAGAGAACTATGATAAAATATCTCACGTAAAACCTATTTAGTAGGACACATTAGTGATATATAATTAATTTTTTATTTCACAGCCCTCTTATTATATTATCCCCTAATTGCTTTTATGCATGTCTCACTTGTGATGTTGTTAATAGCAATAACTGCTTTTCTTTTAGAAGAGTATGAACATAATTATGGAAAAAAAAAGGAAACCTTCTAATAATCTTTCTTTTTTTTAACTCAAATCATTTATCAAATTTTTTTCTATGATATTTGATTGTTCTTTTCATCACAATCATGTATCATTTATTTGCCATTCACAGAGATAAGAGGCAGATGAGTCTAATGTAGGTTATACATTAGCTGGAAGTTAATAAAATAATAAGACTTCAGTACTTCGAAAACAATTTTTCCTAAAAGTCATCTATTATATTTGTAAATTTATCGTATGAAAAGTTACATTATTAAGAAAAATATATCAAATGATAATTATTCTGAATTTAATCAAAAATCAATTGAAATGTATTTCTTTATTTATAAAATCAATTTTTATTTTGCAATTTATTTAACTCTAAAAAAAATGAATCTAATACTGCTAAAATTTTCTCAAATAAATTTGATCAATAATTCATCTTTCAAATTCTCAATTCCATCAGTCAAATCCCATTCCTTCAATTTAGTTGCAACACAATAAGAAATAATTCAAAATATTTTTAGTTTATAAATTTTTGCTCTATAATAAATGAAAATTAGTATTAACAATAAATAATCATAATTTTGATTTTATTGATAAAATGGGATGTATGATTAATTATAAGTAGTCCTTAAATATCATTATACCTCGATAATCATTATAAGAAGAACCTTATAAGAATAATCATTTCAAAAAAGCCAAATTGATTTTTAATGAACCAGAATATACAGATGAAGTTTTTTAAAGAATCAATATAAATTTATCAAAAGATCCAAGTAGATTTGAGGCATTAAAAAATTATTAATGGAAGAGAATAGTTAAATTAAATATGAATTAGAATTTATGCTATGTAATTATTTTTATTAAAAATAGGAATTTTAGTATGGAAAAATAATAAAGGGAGAGTTGAACAACGATTAATTTTTAAATGCCTTAAGAATCCTGTCGTTCTATGATATTACCATAAGAAAAATATTTCTTATAAAAAAGATTTAGAGCAATTGCTAATATAGAATAGTTCTAAATTAATAAGGATTCTGGTAAGAAATTGTGATCGATGATTATCTGACTTTTAATATGAGTGGTAAACCGCTTTTCTCTTACTATGATGGTGAAGATTATTGGGTTTAGTTGATTGAGAAAGCCTTTTCAAAGATCTATGGTTGTTATGAAAAGCTTGAATAGGTTGATATGGCGAATGAAATAATAAGAGATATTACAGGAGCGCCATATTTAATGCTAGATGAGTAAGAGTTCAACCATTAGGTTAGAAACTTTGTTAATTTGTCAAACATCTATTATTTAATGGATGAAAAAAAGGGTATATTTTTGATGCAAAGGGAAGAAGAAAGAAATTATTTTTTGGATTTGCAACGCAAGGTTAAACTAAATATAAATGAGTTTAGTAATTATAAGCTTTTTTTTATCCCATTTGATGAATAATACATCTAAATTACATAATAAGTAGAAATCCCAATCAAAAATTAGTAAATTAAGTAAGTAATATAAATGACTATACAACAGTAATGTCACGCCTTCATCACTCTATCTTAACAGGATTTAAAGGTATGCAATCAAAATTACTACGCTCAACTTCACATTATAATAGTTGAAGATAATAAAAATAGGAAAAACTTTAAACTGATTTATAGTAAGTATTAGCAAGTGAGAGATTTAACAATTGAATGTAATTTAGCTATTGGATAATATTTAATTTATATTGAAGCCTTTTGGTAATAATAAACTGACTAGAAATTAAATATTTAATCATATGGCAATAGTTAAGTATATTTTACATAGCTAAGTAATATGAGAGAAAATGAAAAATTAGACTTGTTAAATGAAATAATTTATTGTCATTCAAAAAGTTAAAACAAAAGAATATATGGTAATGATCAATTATATAGTGTGTAATCATAAATTGGTAGGTATAAATATATTCTATTTGAAAATAACACCCTAAATTAAACGTTAAAAGTTTTATTAAAATTTATGAAACATCTTGTAATTGTAAATTTTCCATATAATGATCAATCAAGTTAATTGATACAAGTCCTACCTAATTAAAGAAAATTAGTGACATTTTAAATTCTCTTGGAAAATGAAGGCTAGCATCGTTTTAGTGTGGAAGAGGAAAATTGTGAAATTTTAGGACCCTTAACAGATGATTAATTATTAGAAAAAGCAATAAATGAACCCACGTCAATCATTGAAAGAAATGAATATATGAAAATATATAATTTGAGATTAGATGATGAGTGCGCTTTGGTATACGTAAATAATTCTGAATAAAAATATGTTGAATTAAATAAAGTTAAATTGATAAATTTAAGTTATAAAGGAAACCGAAACCCAGAACCCTTGAATATAGAGGTATTGCCAAAACAAAAAGTGTTGTTTCGATTTAATAAGCTTGATAAAGCTCAATCATAATATGAATTTGAATGCAATTAATAATATAGATTTGAGTGATTATTGAATATTCAATAGAATTTTCTTGCTGTTATGACCATTGCATTTGTTTTACCTAACATCTAGGCAGCCAGATTAGATAATGATTTTAATTGTCTGATGCCATGTCTCCTCTGCAAACGATTCGAAATTCTTAATGAAACTGTGAATCAATGATACATTATGTAATTTATAAACAAGATAAATTTAGTATCAGCCACGCCACTTCAAAAAGTCTTTTACAGACATAATTTTTGGTATACCTAATGAATAAAAATTGAAAAAATACTGAGATAAATATAATAAATAGATCTTTATTTTTTTGATTAATCTTTTTATTATTCAACAATCCATGCACTATCAAGATATTACCTAGAAGGACTGAAGAGTAATGATTTTCGACTAATAAATATATATATTTGCTAAATTTCCCTTTAAAAAATGAACTTAGGTTGAAAGGAAATGCCTTTACATATTTTTTTATGTATTTTTTTTGTTTATTTTTAATAATTGATCATGCTCAAATTTATCCAAGATATAATAATCTTCTGCATTAAGGATTAGCCTCAATAAATTTATCCAAGTTTTCTTATGCACTAAAAAGTTAAAATTTGCTTACTTTTATTCCTCTAAGTGGACTTTGGCAATTAGTTTTAAACACTCAGCTTCATCTTTTGGAAATGCTCCAGCATTTTATTCTAGTACTCTAAGAGTTAACACTATACATACTTTAATTTTCTTAACACTTCAATTCTGTCTAACTAGTAGACGATTTAATGTGGATCCACTTGTGTATTATCTATTGAGATTTGATGCAATTATACTTAGCCCATTTCTCTAAAATTTAGAAATCACATTAAATTCCATTTTTTAGAATTCATCTAATGTAGATCTAGTTATATTTTAGAGATTCTAATCCTTTTTCGCGTAGCTAATCCTTCATAATACTATTACTGTAAGTAGGATTAATGTTTGGTGTGATTCTGTACTAAAGCTTCATTTCTGGTTGTGCATGTGTATGGTAAGAATTTAGCCTCAACATTAAAAATTCTATGAATTTCCATATGAGTTACCTATGTACTGTATTGAAAGCTGAAAACAATCTGTTTCTTATAGCCATTTTTTATTTTTAATAATATGATATATATAATATTTCATTCTCATTTGTAATACTTCAATGATACTTAAACAAATAAAACTTCTATACCATAAACCAAATGATAAATATATTGAGCGATTAACATAAGTAAAATTAACAAGGTCATAATTTCACAGAAAACACGAAACTTCTATTGGATTCAGGAAAAATGAAAATTGCTTATTTAGTATTAATTTAATACTAGAAATGGTAACTACTAATTATATCTATTTAAATAATAAAGCTATTTTAGTAAATATTATTATTTAATACCTTATTGATCTTGGCATTATAGGTTTATTTATAATTAACTTTAGACTTCAAAATAGTAATCCTATTACTTAAAGATATTATTTGTATCAGTTGAAGTCTGAAATGAAAATGTAATGTTTAAATGATAAAATAATTAGATATTCTTATGAATGCACGCAGGATGGAAATAAAAACTTATGTCAAGAGTTATATTATTTAGGGCAAATATCTGAAGTAGAACTTCGTACTCTTAAATACACGGGAGAGTCACAAGAATTAAAAACCCTATCGACTTACATCAGCTAGCCTTAGTGTTGGGTGTCAAAGTAAAATCAACTAATGAAATAATGTAAATTTGATTTTCAGGAAAAAAAATTTCTAAAATTTAAATACTTGATTGAATGTTTCTTATATAAACTTATTACTGAAATTTTGAAATATGTAATTCTATGAATGTAATTAATAATTTCACAAATTGGTTCTTTAAACTTTTTTGAGATTTAAAAATAATCTATGGACAAATTTATCTGTAAGAATAATTTCTATAATCTAATCTATGGCTCTAAGATTTAACTTGAACCTTTCGTAGTGATTTGATTGATAATATCCTATGTAAGGTAATTCTCCTATTAAATTTTTATATAAAGGGTTAGTGTTAAGAGTGATATATGGTGATTGCATGATGATAATTTAACTGTTTTTTAAGTTAAGATACAAAGTTTTACCTGAGTGCCTTTTATAACAATGTCTGGACAAATTTCCAATTTTTTTCTAAATTAAGACTAAATATATACTTTTTATGGTCTTCCACAATAATGAGCGCACATCTTCTTAAGACAAATCAAACAAAGGTATTGATTCTGCTCCTAATTTTCCATTCTCTACAATGGCAAAAATTAACATTATTTTTTTTGGCAAGGTGCAAGATAATACCTTAATAAAAAATCTTTGAAGTTCAATTAAAATTTGTTTATATAATGTTATTTTAAATCCTTACTTATTCTTTCTAGATCATATGGAAGTGATTGCTATTCAACTTATGAAAGGATAATATTTTGGGTCAAACCTTCAATTATTGCAGATTGAATAGAGTTCTTATTAAATATTTAACTCAATCCTGATGTTAATTCATGAATGTTATGTTACTTTATCATAAATTACAAAATTATATTTAAGATTCTAAAAAGGATCTGTTAATCATTTTGAACAACTTCTTCTAAAACTGTAGTTTAATTGTATTAAAACAGTATTCTTAATAGAGCCAAGACATCTTATAATAATAAATTGGTGTTTTTCTATTTAAATTTGTTTAAATCACTCAGCAATTAAAAGAATAAGTTACAAAGAACTTGTGAAAAAATTTCATCCAGTAGTTTTGGAATATCCAGGTCTCCTTTTTCAACTGAAAATCTTTGATAATATTCCATCATTTTTTTATCTGTAATTGTACCTAAAAAGAAACCCAAATTTTCATTTAGAATCTCATCATTTGCCCCTTTAATATGGATTGAACTTACAAATGGAAAGTTGTATGGAGATAAGCAAATTGGACATCTCAAATATTAAAACTCACCTATGGTATATTTTTATTCATTCTAGAATAAGCATTATTTATGAAAAGTGTGTTAACAGCTTGATGCTACAATTTAGAAAATGTCTGTTTATTATTAGTTTCTTGGCATTTGTTAAGGCATCGTATTAATATGTTTATTAACATTGGTATAAGAAATCAATAAAGCCCTATATTAAATTTCTTCTTTTTCAAATTGCAATTAGCATAAAGAGCAATTTTCGTTACTCATTTAAGTTGGAGTCTCTGCAATTTGATGACTAAATGCTTACCCCATATTTTCAAATTTTTTCTAGAACTTTTTCTTTGATATTTGTGATCTACATGCTCTTTAAGCATCGCTTTCACCTTAGGAGGCATTTTAACTGAAGCTTTCGTCAAGTTATCTGGCAAATATTTCATAAATGCTGTTTGATGTTTAAGTTAAATTAACATCTTATATGATTTAGAAACAAATTGAGGAAATACACATCAAATAATCTTAGAGATTTTTATTAATATTTTTAAAATGTTTATTACATAAATAAACTAAGTTAATGTATACAGAGTAATCCTCCAATAGTTAAGAAATATTTTTAATTAGCCCCAACTCCTGTTAACTTTATATTTATTCTATAATATTTTGAAGTACCATTTATTCTTAGTCTAAAACAATAGCTTTAAGAATGGCTAACCTCTTATAGGTTAAAGTTGATTTGTGTTCATTTAATTAGGCTAACTCATTAGCTAGAGCAGTTCCAAATAACTCAGATTATTAGTCGTTTTATGTTTTCAATTTGTCTGTTATTTATTCTTTTAGTTCTAATACCAAAGAAGCGAAAATTGGTTCATATTAAACAGGTAAAAGTTATTTTTTTAGTTACAATTATTCATTATCCTAATTTAATTCACAAGAACTTAAAATAATATTTTATAAATCCAAACTGCTGTCATAACTAAATTTTTTGAGAAGTTCTCGAAGATCATTCTCTTGGTAAAATGACTAAGCGAAGAAAATTGTTTAGAATAATTTGTTTAAGCCTTTTTAAAATTCTTTAGGTAGTTCATTTCCAAACATGTCTCCTACACATTAAATCAGGTCATAATCAGTTTAAGCAATTCTACATATAAGAAATTAAGGATCTGACTTGTAATCGAAGAATTTTGCAATTTCTTTATAGCTGGAGACAATATCATTAATTCCCAGAGACCCAAATAAAAAGGCATATAATTAAACATAAGCTACATCAACTTGTTCAAGTGAGACTTCTTTAAGTTTCATTTGCTCCTTATACAATTTCACTTAGCCCTTATATAATAATGGATTTCCATTCTTTAAAAGAATAATGTTGTTAAGTAAAGTTCTTTTTAAAAGGCCCAACAGAACTTATCTAAATTTCTCTGGGGTTAGGTTACTTGTCTTTAATAAATCATCATAGGCCTCTTGTGGGTCATTAAAATCCATCAAAAATAATGATAGTAAAGTAATAAAGTTCCTATCACAAATCACTATATTTTATAAATAATTTTTTAATGTGGATTCTGTTTTTAATTAAAAAGATGTGACGTAGTTATTGAAAAAATAGTTAATTGACAATCTAAAAATGTTTTATAACCCAACCATATTTTATCTATTAGAATCTTTCCAAGTTTCAACTATAACTGACAATAACTTTCGATATCCTTAAAGCAGAAATATTTGAATAATCTCTGATATCTGAAATTTACTTTATTCTTATGGCTTGAGGAAATGAAAGGTTCTTGTCTCAGTTTATTGACAAGGGTATATTTTGTTTAATGTGTATATTAATAAGGAGGTATTTTAAAGTTCATTGAACTTACAATGATTGGGGTATATTGGAGTAAAATGAAATTTTTCCTCTTCATAGGAGAGAATCTCTGAAATTTATTCAAATAACTTCTTAACGACATCATCATAAAACTATGTTAAAATCATGTCATCAAACTATGAGCAGAACATCTGCGCTTCTTAGTTGCATAAGGGTCTAAATTAGCAAATTAATAAATTACAATTAGAGTAGTTGATTTGAGAAAATATCAAACAAAGAATAAACCTATGGTGTTTTATATTCTTTATATAAGCTTAAAAGGCATAAAACTACATGTCCCATAAATTGATAGAAATATCCAAATATAGAAGCTCTTTCTACTTTATTTTTACAAAAAATTTTTTGTATATTCTATTCTTAAAGCAATTTCGGAAGTATCTCATTTAATTTCGAATGTGCAGAATAATTTATTGCATTGATTTAAAACTTGATTTTTTAATTATCAGCTGTTATTAATCTGTAAACTTAGGTTGGATTATACAAGTGATTATAATGAATCAAGACTTCTTTGCATAAATTAGGTTTGAAATTTTCATCAACATGTAATTCATAAAATAACTCTGAAATGTAATTTGTTTCATCATGAAGAAATCGTGAAAAAAACACATTATGTTTGACAAATAAATTTAAGATAGTACATTAGCAGAATTATTATTGCTTTTCTAATTTAAAGCTTGCAAATGGATCCTTGGAATGGGCATGATATAGTTTTATGAATTTTTAAATCTTTTCATCAATAGGGATTTAAAGAAATTTGCTTGTTGTATAACTCCAGGGGATGTTATTTTAAGTTACAAATTTAAGGACTTTGAAAATAAGTGTATACAATTTTTATCCTTCTTTGAGTGCTTTTTCATGTTAGAAGAACTCAGGCAAATTCTCATTTATAATATTGACAGAATTTTCGATTTTTAATATTTAAATGGCATCCTAGATCTAAGACATCGTTTTATTGTTATAATCAGCAATTTTTTAAGTCTGTTCAAACAACAGTGCAAATGACACCATAATAAAATATCTAAATCTCTCTACCAAGTTTTCTATATAGATTAAATAATTTAGTACCTCCAAATAATTATTCAGGGATTGGTGTTTCTATTTGTGATTAAGAATGTTTATTGCAAAAGGACCTCTTCTTCATAACCAATGTATCTCCACAATCACAACATCCTCCATTTGAGTAATGATATGTCACAACATGATCTTATGTAAATTAATAAAAATACTCTAATGTCTTTGTGGAGTGTAGCATTCTTAGCAATACACATGAGTAGGCTCTTTGCTACAATCAAAACATTTGTAAAACAAAGCATTTTTAGGAAGAGGAGCAGAACAAACACTTTTACACCCTGTTCCTTTTAATTTGATAATCTTATCTTCAAATTCCTAATTGGTCAAATTTAGGACCTATTGTACTAATTAGAAATCTTGTTTTCTCTCTTGTGAATTGGCTGTGTTCTAAATTAATTCAATCAGCTTTTAAATATCCATTTAGATATTATTATTTGTTTATATATTTATAATAAATGTTATAATTAAATTATTTTTAGTTTTACATACCACTATTTTTATAATAATTGTTAATGAATTAAACTCTCTCAAATTAAAACAAAGGTGTTTATTTTTGATATTTAGGTATGAAATAATGAGCAATTAAGGTCTTATTTTTGAGATTTATCTTATTAATAATGTCTATTATATAAAGAATGACTTTCCTTTCTGAATTAAAGGTAGAAAAACAAATTAAGTGATGTTCATCCATTATATTTGAAGAATTTTCTCAAAGAAAAGATAATAATCTTAACATCTATTAATTATCCTAAAAAAAAGCGTAAAACTAATCTTAATAATATAATTTTAATCATCAACTCTAATTTGATAAATTAATACAATAAGTTAGTAATTTATAGTTTTGTTTTGGTGATTTGCTAGCGTTAGGAGAACTAGATGAATTAGTTTAATTAGGTGGTTATATATGTTTATTTTGATATTTTTTAATTAATTATTATAGAATGCGAATTGTTCTTGAATTTGAAAACAAAGATAAATTAATTTCAGAGTTGAATTTATATCAGTCTATTCTAAAGTGTCATCGTTAAATTGTTCTTAAGAATATTAAAGTATCAAAAATGAATTGCTATTCTATTTTGATGAAATATCAAATTTGATGAAGATGAATATACCATTAAAAATTTGAATTATAATTAATCTGCAAAAATATTACTGAAATAATATGAGTAATTTTTCATAAATTGGTCATGAGTTTATCTAAGATAAATGAATATTAATATGTTAGAATTCTTTCATAATCTTAACTCTTATATCATACAAGTTTAAATTTATTAATCTAATCTCCAAATTGAAGTAAGTGCATAAATTGCAAGAATCAATTCTTATAGTAATTTATCAGAATGAAACACTCTGGCTTTCAACAGAGTTCTAATCTAATATTTTCATTGAAACTCTTCAAGTGGTGAGTGTGTTAATTTATAAGAATTATTAAAGATCATAATACCATCCAGATTTTGAGAGGAGACTTTCATTATTTTAATATATATAGTGTTATTCAGTTTACAAATTATTTTAAATTAGTTAAAATATGGATTTACGCTCAACAGTTTATCTTCCATCAAAGTAAATTAGCGAAGGAGAAATTTAAGTTAAGGGAAAAACCTTAGGGAGATGGAAAACTAAGAAGTTTATTATTGATGAAGATCAAAGAATCTTTGCATTAAAAAGTTCATAAGCAAAAAAGAAGTTAAAGCCTTTCTACTTATAATATTACAAAGTAAGGAGGTTAATAATTTATTTAGTTAGACATAAGAGAGAAAAAAAAAGATAAGATTTCATTTGATTTGATTTCTAAGGCAGGAGGCAAAAGTGTGACATTGGGAATCCAAAATGAATAATAAGCCAATTTGATAATCAATTTGTTGTAAAAATTGATAACGAAGGAAGAGCCTATTTAGAAATAATCATAAGAGGAATCATTATTAAAGTCTTAAATTGAATAACCTATGGAAAATACGTAAAGTATAAATGATTTCATATTAAGATTTGGCTTATGAGAAAATAGATTATGAAATACCTTGTTTTTTTGATACAAGTGAAATTAGAGAAAAGTATAATTGTTATAGTAATTGATAAGTATCTCCCAAATAAGGAGGGGACAATAACGATTAGAGAAGTTTTAAGTGGTTTAGAAGGAGCAAGCATTCACGATATACAAAAATGTTGATAACCATCATCAATTTGTGACTTTTATAGAATTCGTTGGGGATTGTATAATGACTAATTGATAATTAGGCTGTGATTTGATCGTTCAGAATTTATCAGATAATAACAAAATAAATTAATGGAATCCATACGTGTCTCAAACCGAGTCTATGGTAGTGAAAGAATTAGCAGAAGATAAATCCTTTTAAATATGTGAGATTCGTTAATTGACAAATCTCTTTGTATTTAAGCGAGAATTTCAATATTTACGACATCATTTGAAAATAGACAATATTGATTTTATTGTTTAAAAACAGATTGATTAAAGACCAAAAACTAAATGCTATCAAGGAAGTTTGAAATATGGTTTATGGAGTATTTAATACAAGTAAATGAATTATCTCAATTTTCAGAAATAATGTGACTAAAGTGTGTTATGCGACAGAGCAGTCATTACAGGGTTTATCTTATCCAGATGAAGATTCTTACCTTATTTAAATGTTTTTACAATAAATTTAAAATATCAACAAGCAGTACGTTTAAAAGACAATAAAATAAGATCCACCTATTAATTCAGTAGAGATTCCTCAAATCAATAAAGCCATTATATAGGAATAGCAAGTGTAAGGAGGAGAACCTTAAATATAAAAATAGCAACCTGATCAACAATAATTACCACCTCAAATTAAAGTTGTTTAACAAAGCTAAAAGTAAAATTAAGAAGAGGATGATTAATTTTTTGATTGTGAAGAAGAAGATGCGATAGATGAGATGAATGACAAGTTATTTATTGTAGAAACTGTGGATAATAAATAATTGATTCAAGATGAAGTTGTAAAAGATGTTTACGAATAAAATGCAAGAAGACAATCTATATTGCCAATTTAAATTGATACTTAAGATAATAATGAATAAGATTGGGTAGATAAGAAAATGAAATTAGTATTATCAGGAGGTTATTGTTCACTCTCAATAAATGTGAAACATCAATTGTAGCCTAAAGAAAAAGGATAGAATAGATAATTTTTGACTTCATAAGAAGGAGGACACTACATATTTAAGAAAGATTTTATAAGAGAAGAAAAGAATGGGGGTTTGAAAGTCATCAATGAAGAGAAATTAGCTGCTTAAAAGGCAGTTATTAAATTCCTCATTACCAGAATTGGAGCATCATTGTTAATGGGAAAATCTATTACTGGAATATCAATGCCAGTCTCAATTTTTGAAGCTCGTTCTAATACTGAAAGAGTTTGTAGTAGTTTGGGATTCGCACCAATATATTTAGAAGAAGCTGCTCTGTCCTAAGATATTTATTACAGAATCAAATAATGTGCGGCATTTCAATTTGGATTCATATTTATGTATATATCCTGTGAGAAAGTAACTATAATATCTCAACCTTAGCCTTTCAATCCTATCTTGGGGGAAACTTTCCAAGGCTTTTACGACAATTGTCCGATCTATTGTGAATAGATCAGCCATCATCCTCCAATATGTGCTATTCAACTTTATGGCAGATCATATAAGTATGTCTATCATTAAGATATCTAGAATCGAAGGACAATTGGAATTGGTGGCTAATTTTCATTCTAATTCAGTTGTTGGTAGAAATGTTGGAACCTTCAAAATTACTTTTGAAAATCCACATTAAGAGATTTTATTGACATTCGCTCCAGGTAGTTTGAATGGGACAACATATGGTGATAAAGTGCTTAATTATCTTGAAAAATAATTCATAATAGATTTGAAAAATAAAATCATCTTGGAAACTACATTCAATCCTGATAAAAAATATTGCCAATATTTTGAAGTTGAATATGTGAATCAACTTGATTATTTATGTGGAGCTATTTGTGATGTTACTGATACGGCTATTTTGAGATATTAAAAGGAAGGTTTTAGAAAATATAAAGGATTGGATTTAAAAAATGATGTTAAACAGGTCAAACACAAGATTAAGGGTATCTGGATCAATGAAATAAAAGTATGGAATTACTAATATATCTCTAGGTTGACAATCAGAAATTAATATCTATTTAGCATGATTACCCTGTTAAAATGTAATTGGCTCAATTCCCAATACCATCAGATGCTACTTTCAGAATGGATCTTTTATGGTGGAAGTTGAGAAATTTCGATTAATCTTAGCAATGGAAGGAGAAATTGGAAATTCTTTAAAGATAAGACAGAAAATTGAGAGAATAGAAGTCAAAAAAGAAAAAATGATACATAATAATGTCTATTTTTAATAATTTATTTAGAGAAATTAAGTGTATATATTGAAATCTAATTGAATTATCTTTATTAACCTTCTTTAAATTCTACATTGAATAAAATAGTTTAAATTTATATTTATTTAAGAATAATTATGATATCAAATTAAGCTATTCTTTCTATTTGATAGCTTATTAACAAGTGTCAGGATCTTCTAATAGATAGTGTTATCACTAGTCAATAATAATTTGCAGATTTAGAATGCCTAATAATTTAAATGGATTGTTACTTTAATGAACAAATCTAATCCTGTATAATCGGGATTGAATTTATGAGTTTACTTTTCAATGAGATGGACAGCATCTTTGTATACGTTTTCAACAACATGAGCATATGGTTTGGAATTTGCATCTATCGTTTTTTAAAATGCTAGTTTGTCTCCTTCTATTTATAAATATCGAATCAAATCTTATTCATCTTTGCGATAAGATTAAGTCAATCTATCTCTGATTACACGTTCTTGTGCCAACTGCTTCAGAATGTTAATTTCCAAAAATAGGAAAAACCCATGAGAACAGTACTAATCAAAATGATACAAGAATTTCTCATTTTCTGTTATTATTGCAAGAAGAACCTCAAACTTTTCAGAAGGGTCTATTCAAATATAAAATATTTATTACTCAATCTTGCAAGACCAATTAATGCCTCAATATACATTTTTATTATCGAAAAAACATGCAATCTCAAATATCCTAACTAATAGAAATATCTGCAATAATCTGGATTTGAAATAGATGTGTAACAGTATTCCAAAGTGTTTTTAACCTTTTCTAAATACTGTTAAGTGGACACAATCTTATTTTATACCTTGAAGTTATTAAAATATTTACGAAGAAAATGTTTGCAAAAGTTGAATACAAACTACCTAAATAAGGATTTGATTCATATTTGAATTCTATGCAATATTTCTAATAAATTGCAAGCGATTCATTCGCTGCTTACAATGACCATCTGCAAACTACATCATATGAAATTCCATCTCTTATGGTTTTCAATGTCTTTATCTTACTCTTTAAAAATTGTTTAGTTTCTTGGAATTTCTATTATTTATTATATGTTATTCAATACCTTCTCCATTTATTGTGTGCATTTATTTTTCACTCTAGACTCCAAATATACTCTGGTTTTTGCTGTAATTTCTTGTTTGAGGAACTTGATCTTCTTGTCTGAATCTTATTACAAAGCAACCTCTAAATCTTTCACTCTTTTGTTGATCAGAAACTCTGAATACATTGTTGCTATCAATCTTTATAAATGGCCATTGAAAATATGTTACAAACCATACTATTGCTGAACGTATTTTTAAGCATAGAATATTGGATCAACAGACTATATCAAGATCTTAGGTTGCTGTATCAAAGATTCTATATAGGCAAAATAAGCCTCAGTTGTTAGTTTAGCTATTTCAAAGTAAGGCCTCAATGCTGTTTTCGTTAAAGTTTCCTCATAAGAGAACTTAACTTCAGTAAATTGCTGCAATTCATCAGCCTCCTCAAATGAAATGATTTATTCAACTGAGATTGGATGATAAATCTATCAATAATATAAATATGAATACTCTTTGCTTTTGAACTCTTGTATCATCAAACTCACTGTAAATCCAATGGGTTTACAATTAAATATTTGTTTACTTGATTCTTTTTTAAAGCAATTTCAGCAATTTAATAGCTTTATTTGATGCAGAAGTGAAATCGGCTGTTGTGATCTCAAATAACATTAAAACATCAGTGATTAATCCTGAAATCTCATCTATATTTGATTCACCAAAGGTTTAAACGCTAAAAATAATCAATTTATTTACAAATTTAAGTTTTATTTTGATAATTTGAAATCTCCTTTCATAATTATACACAATGCTTACAAACCTTCTACATAAGAATAAAGCAAACGCATAAATAACACTTATTTTAACACTAAGAAATTTCTCACATTTAAAGCAATTTGTTTTATTGGCTCAATGTTGTGTAATAAATTGTGTTCATAATTTTCAAAATTTAAATTATGAATGTTCAATGCTTTAAATAATTGATTAACCGATATTTCTGTAGCATTTGATTTCAAGAAAATCTTTTCGCTTTGCCAATTCAATGCCATTCTGCAAATTTCATAATAGATCAAATCAAATAACTTTCGTTTAATATTATAAGCCATAGAATCAGCGTCTCTAAATTATCCCACATGCAATTGATAAACGATCAACTTCACTCCCAATTGACATAAGGCTATCTAATTATCAAATCCTTGATCCTTATCATCAATATGTATGAATCCTGTCTAAATTTTATCCATGTCTTATTGCTCTAATTATTGAGCTAACAAATATCGATTGATATCAGAATTTGTATTCAATCTTGGTTGCTTGCCCTTCTTTTTCTTTTATTTTTTTTCCTTGCTCTCCACCAATACATTATGTGCTGTCTGAATTTGCTCAAACAAATCTTAAATTTTGATATTATCTTTCTTATCCTATTTTTCTACTAATTGTCTTAGTTCTTCAGATAAAACATATGTTCTCAATCTACTGATTTCCAATGCTAATTTTAATGTGTACTTCTCCCTTTTCAACATCTTGGCTTTGTTTTAATACAAAGTAAACAAAAACTTAATTAGTTCATTATTTAATTCTAATTGCTAACATTTTAAGAAGAAATCCATCAGTTTAATCAACAGAAATCGAATTTAAAATGTCTTATGACTCTTTATAAATTGCATTTCCTCCAATTACATCATCTATTTATAAGATTATTGATTATTATAGTAATAAGTATTATTCACATGGATGTCGAGTATAGAAAAAAAGATTTATTATAAAGAGGCTGTTTATTGATCTGTAATCTCTTCTTCTTTTAATGGAATTTATTACAATAGTTCGACTATTTTAATATGATCAAAGGCCTCTTAATAATCATAGGATAATTATAATACTCTTGTATAGAGAATCTTATTTTCAATAATTACAAAGATGTTTTAGTTTTATAATTTTTCTTGAATAATTAAGATGTATTTTCTAATGGCCATTTACAAATCAGTAAAATGATGATGATTTTCAGATTCCACATTCTGTTTACTTAAGATGAAAGTATAACCATACAATAACTCTAGTTTTAATTAACTAATTTTCTCATCCTAAAACCAGGTTATCTCATTAGTCTCTGACTCTTCAGTAACTAATAGGTATTTTTCGGTAAATTTGTATAACTTTAGTAAACAGGAAATTAGAGATTGACTAAATACAGAGTTTGGAACATCATAATTGTAATCTAGCTGATCTTCATTTTATCTGAAATAGTAGGGGTACTGATGCTATTGATTCTCAATTAACACATGAACCAATTTGATTTGGATGATGTGACTCAATAGATTGTCGTTTCCGTACAGATTATGAGACTAGATTAATTGCATGAATCCCTAATAGATTCCGTTACTCATTGCTAAAACATTATAATAAAGCAATTAAGAACAATAAAATATAGTCTAAGTAATGGCAACTTTTAAATGGTTAAAGTAAATTGTAGACTCTTTTTAGAAACTCTCATAGATCATAAATTGCTCTTCCATCAGTTATATTATAAATTTATACACATTTTACATGTTCTCCTGTTGGTTAGTTTCAGAGTAGTGTTCCCCAATCCAGCCAATCATAGGAATAAAATTTAATTACTCCAATACACAATTAGATGATATAATCTGTCTAACTAATTAATAAGCAATGTTTTCTGTTTGTGAAAACTCCTTATTTCTGTTATAAATAGATAGTAAAATAAACTTAACTTGATTTTCATAGTAATTCAAATAAGCCAAAGATGACTTCATTAAATCTTCATTTAATTATTTATGTTTTGAACACCTAACGATTGATTTGATTACACTCTGCTTTTCAGTGATTTTTTCATTAGAAATAAATTGCTGCATCAATTAGATGTCATCCAATAGTTCATTTGCTGTATTCAGAGCATTTTTGTCAAAACTATCAAACTACAATTATAATTAAATAAATTAAATGTATAATCTATTCAATAATTTAATGTAGATTGAATTTGTTAAAAGAAAGTAATTACCCTCCTTTTCTAAATATTTAAGGTCATATTTGATTTCATTCCATTAATCTGTGACTAATTTTGTGGTTTGTTCAATACCAATTTAATACATGCTCTGAAGATTGCATATAGAAGAAGATAAAATTTGCATTTGAAACATATAGACTCTGATATAATGGGAAAATGATTTCATAAACTTTGATGACTAATAGTCATCCTTCTGTAATTGTAATAGATTGAGAATGAGGTTTTCGTCATTTTTAAACTTTACTTAAATCGCAGGACTTTTATCAGATTAGCTTAGCAGGATAACTTCATTTATTATTTCTTCAAAATCATTTAACAAATTGATTAATAATGCGCACTATTTCATACCAAAATCTAATCGATTCATATAGACAAAAAACATTATTTTGTATTGAAAGTAGAAGATAAAATACTTGAATTCATCTAAATTATTCTAAATTAATTTCACAATGTTGGATTTAAAATAAAGTTGAAAATGACTATAAAAGTCTGACATTTCTTCTTAAGACTATTCGATAGAAGTAAGGAAGTACTTTTGAATGAGAATTTCCTCAAAATCCTAAGACATTTCATCAAATTTTTCGAGTTGTCCCAAAATCAGATATTATTCAAATGAAAAAATAGCCTACTTTAAAAATGACTTGATGGATACAAAAACTTGAGTTGTAGATTGGCCCCCATTCAATTCATCCAATATATTTTCATAGAAAGTTGGGCAAAATCTTTTTTATTTCATTAGTTCCAATTCCTCATCAAAGTTTTAATTACTTATTCCATTCTCATGAAATAAACTTCTACCTTAAAACTTAGCTGCCATTACTGAAGGATACAGTCTTAACTTATAATCTGGGTGCAACAGCTACATTATCAATTAGCTGGAATTAGGATATTCATGTATCAATTGATTCTTGTTATTCATCATCCATTTTCTGACTGTAAACCCAACATCCCCATCATATTCTTAGAGGGATTTTTCTACATCAAACTTCATTTATCCAAGGGTGGCCATCTAAAGACTTACCATTCCTAATGAGTAGATATCGCATTTCTATGGATTAATTGGTAATTAATTATTTGGTTTAAGATAGTTAGTTAACAATTCTGGACTCATATACCATAATTCATCATTTTATTATATAGATCTTATGAAATATGTTCTTTCAGTATTGAGATCATACCAAAAGAACATTCCAAAATCGAATACTACATACTATAAATATTTTGATTTATCAGTTTTTTCAACTAGAATGAAACTATCCAAATTTAGACAACCATGAAACATACCCATGTTGGTTTCTAAAAAATCTAATAATTTAATGGTTGAAGTGATAAAGTTCGAAATTTCATTGTCTGTATATTTTGTTTTCCTCTCCTTGATGACATCCTTGAGAGTTCTCCCGTTGCAAAACTTAAAAGCTTTAGGAGGATTATAGGCTCTGCATAAATAACCTTTAACTAAGGGATCTCTTATATTAAAAAATTGGGGTTGTTTTTGAATTTTCATATAGCTAAGTTTGGCAATTCCAATAGGTAAATTCAAGCTCGCAAAATCAGGTCCCTCTACAATATCATAAAATCGATAGACCCTATTGATGAAATCCTTAAAAATGTTCCTATTATATGCTATTTCAGTTGAGTAATAGAGCATGATATCATCTCTTTAAGGAACGTCGACATAGGACATTAGCCACCTTTTATTTTGAGGTTGCAGACCAAATATATTTGTATGAATATTGGAAGCAAATTAATCCTTCTTTTTGTCTATTCTATAGAGTAGATTGATTTTGGGTTGAGTTTACCTTATCTATTCTTCAACAAACAATTCCCAAATCTACATCTAATTGAGTTTTAGGAATGGAGCTTGTACCCTAAATGGAATGTATGAGAAATTCATAATCCTATTTTGTTTTCTCAATTCATTTGTGATATAATTATCTAACTAATATTCAACCTAACTGACTCCTTTGGATGACAACATATAAATGTAATGTTCTTTATGTCTAATTTATAGGGAGTCTAGAAGCGAGATTAAGGAAGTAGATGAAAATTTCTTAAGTTGGGTTTATGATAGATTGCAAGTCAAATTAAAAAATTACTCATCTATAGGTTTAAATTTGGTATCCTTTTTAGTTTTATTTGAATCTTCAACCTGCTCTTTTTGCTACTCTTATTGCTACTCTTAGATGTTCTGTTCCATAGCCTTATTCTCGTTCTCACAAACCTTTTTATACTTCTCTAAAATTCTATAATAACTTTCGGCTACTTTCACTCCTGATACTTTATTGGTACTTTTCCTAAATTGGCCAAACCACACTCCACCTGATCTTAAAAATACTGTACTACGACCATCAATCCATACATGTTTTTTCACAAACTCTTTCTTCTTCTTTAAAATTTCCATCTTTTCAACAACATTTTATTAAATATCTTAATGTTTATTAAGAAAATCTAATTGCTTTTCGTACTTCTTATTTTGTTATTATTTCAGAGACTTTTTAAGTCTTTTATCTCCTTCTTAGAATATCAAGTACCTTCTCCAATCCAAATTTCTAATTAGAACCAAGGATCTAGGTAAAAAGAACTTTCTATATGTATATCTATCAAGTGTCCATTGTTTCTAATGAGGATTTAGCTAATCTTTCATTTTCAGATAACTCAGTGTTTTTTAAAAGAAGATTTTTTGCAACAATTATTATTCTTTATCCTGTGTATCTTTCATCTTAAACTTCATTGCCCAATTTGATATTCTAGCATTGAAGTAATATTGCAATTCCTCTATGGATGATTCCTTATTACTTGCATCTTGTAGTAACTTTAAATTTTAGTTTTCTTCTTATTCATCATTTTCTTCCACATCTTCATTTTCTTATTAATCTTTTGATTTGGCCTTTTTCTCAACTTTAGGCTTTACCTTCTTCTTTTCATGTTTAACACCCTTTATTTCTTCCATTCTTTTCACATAATCTTCAACATCTGAATCGGAACTCAATTCCACTATTTCCTTCATTCTAACATCCTTCACCTTTGTTCCATAAATTTTTAGAATTGGATAACGCTTTAAACTTCTTGGATTTATAGCTTTATTTGACGATCGTTCTGCTGATCCTCTGAATTTCTCAACTGTATTCTTTATCAAGTATGCTTGTCTTTGCAATAAATCCTAAATCTGAAATGGCAATTCGCTAAATAAGGTCATTTCCACGAATCTCAAAAAGAAATTAGCCAATAGACAAATCAAGAAGAAACCTGACATTTATATTAAGGCATCAGCAGAAGTAATATCATCTCTCTTTGAAGTTATCTAGCCGCTATTTACAACTAAGGACAAATAGGCTAGTCCATCTAAGACTCTATTCCATACTCCAATAGTGCTCTCACTAATTGGAATAGGTCTCTGCATTTCATTCAGCAATTTTAACTTATCACATTATAATTCTAACAGACTTCTGAGGAAAGCTATCATGTAACTAAGGGGGAATGTTGTTCCAAATAAGACAAGCATTGAGTGCTGAATAGCTATTTCCATAAAATCATCTACAGTTCCATATCTCTCAGGACTGATCACATAGGATTCTTTGTCAAAAAACTCTAAAAGCATTATTATGATATCAATTTACATTCCTCAATAAAATCATTTATTAAATGAAATGGATCTTCCTACTTCTTTGCCTGCTCACTATCTTAATCATCCAGAATTTGATCTTAAATCTAAAGATTTATTTAATTATCTTGAAAGAATTAAAGCTTCTTCTCCTGAGGTTGAGATATTGATTCAACTTGTGGACTTTTCTCGTTTGATTTAAATTGATTTGATGGATTCGATGAATGAGAAATCTGTTTTTTCATTTAATTTGATCTCAAAGGATCTATGCTTGGCTTTAAAGAAATTTTATTTGATCCAGAGGCCTTATTAGTATGAGTGTTTTATGATTTTGATTGATGCGAACTTACATTGAGATTTAGATGAGTATATTTTGTATCATTCCTTTTTGGATTTTTTATTTTAAGATACATTTCTTTAATAAATTTAAATACCAATAACCTAGTTTTTAAATAAACATTGATCAAGAACTACAGCAAAAACATAGTTGCAAAATGATAACATGAATGTTTCAAGCAATCTCCATGAGCACAATGTAAACCAAATTTCTAATGTAAGTTATATAAATAATTTTACAGTATGAAGGAATTGAATTTCCAGAATGGGAATGCATAAAGCAAAAAAGCACAAAAAAAACTTTTTGTAAATGAAATTGGCCTCATACATTTTTATTGTTTTATGATTCTCATAATCGGTTAATGCGATTGCTAGTCTATCAAATACTGTGTCTAGCAATAACACAAGTATTAAATTTATCAGGGCTGGTACAGTGACTTCAAATAGCGCTGTCGAATAGCCAGGCTCTGTAAAGGTATCCACATCTTACAATGCATCAGATATAATGAAAATTGATACTATAATGCCAACATAGAATATGACCATCAGAAATAAAAAAGCAAAAGACACAATTTTTTTCATAACTCTTTATAAATCTGTAAAGAATAGAATATTTAAATTATCAGTCTCAATTGAACGAGAATAGTAACCATAAAATTATGATCTTTATTAAGTTGTATCTTCTCCAGACTAATTGAATTAACCAAATTACATAGCAAACACCTTTTCCTTAGTCTACCACATATCATGAATTAAATTACTCCACTAGATCTAAATAAATCCAAAAATTATATATAAATAAACATAAAGTGTGCTTTTAGTATCACTAGAAATAAACTGAATTACACTGATAATTAATCCTAGAATACCAATGGGAAACAGCATTGAAGCATTGTACCCGACAAAATGAAAATATATGGCTAACTTTTCACCATAATATTCTCGAATTTACTTTGTGGGCACAAACCAAGGATGATTCCATTGAAATCTCCATTGGAATGCTAAATTTTCTAGTTTTCGTTCAGCAAATTGATATTCTTGGTTCGAATATTTATTCTAACCAATAACACCTAGATAATTCCTTTCAGCCATTTCTTTATAGAAATACTGAAATAAAGATTTAGTCTTTAGTATTTCAATATTGTAATCAGATTTAAAAATAGGCACAAAGAATGAACGTTTACTCTTCCCTTGTATTTCATAATTGTCATGTAAACAAAACTTTGCCAATACAAATTTATCTGAAATTAGAATTGTAAAATTAATCTTCTCATCCAGAGCTAGATTATTGATTTTAATTCGTTCCATATTTGAAAATATTGAGATTTTGCCAGTCTCTGTTATGCAATATTATTTCCAAAGAGCATTAATTTTACATTATTAACTTTTGGCCAACTTATCTGAGGTTAATTTAAATGTAATAAATGGCTCAAAAGGAGTGATATCTGCCAGATCCCAAATGGTCTTAAGAGGTTTAATGCTTCCTAAATTTGTAATGTACAATGCATCTTAAAACAAGTCTAAATATGACTTCGCTAGTTATTCTTTCTTTAATACTTTGACGTCTTTAGAACTTATAAATTTATTTACATTGATATTGCAAATACCTCTAATCTAATCATAGTATTTCTATTATTTTCTATGCTCCTATATAATTTTAAAAATGCCATGGAAAACATCCACAAGTTGGATATTCCTTCCATTTAAATCTATTTATTCTTCAATTTCTGATTCCTTTTAAATTTATTCTAGAATGTTGATATCCTGACTGTTGATCTGATCTTAAAATTAGAGTTTGTCAGGGTTTTTTTCCATATATATCTCATATGGTTTTTTGCTTTTAGTATTCTTATTGAAAAATTAAGCAAATTCGTCTTAAATTGCACATTAATTTCTAAGATGAGTGATTTTCTCTTCTAAATATGTTAAATAAGCATAATATGCTTTCCACACATCATCAGGAGGTGGATAATCATCAATAACCTCTTCGTCTCCTTAAGAAAAGATCTATTAATTAATCATTGATTGGTTGATTTCCCTTGAGATTAATTTATAATTAATTTTTTCAAGCAATTCCACAATTTTTGGTTTTAAATAAATAAACATTTTTGATAATTCTCCTTTGTAATCATTATTGGATTTCCACAATCTGTTGTTTAATCTTAAGGGTCGAAGATTGTCATCCACAGGTTCATATGAGAATATATCTTAAAATTGGAAGTTTAATTATTTGGTGATCTCATATTTATGAGCCAAGTTCTTTAGATTTGAATCTGCTTAGTACAAGACGAGAAAAATGGTTGAACCATCTTTGGATATAAACTATCTCATTAAGAAACCCAACTTACTCAATTATAAAATCACAGCTAATCTTATAAGAGTACTTAAATCTTTGGTTTGACTTTCTGTGCGAACCCAACATTTTTCTTTTTCATTGTGTTCTAGAAACTTACCACCACTTAATTTGATTCTAATAAATCTATCCAATTTATAATTGTCTAAATTGAATGCTTCTTTGATGGCTGTTTGTCTTGTTTTTCTGTCTAAACTATAGATCTTTAGCAATTTAAGTTCCAATTTATCAATTTCATCACTAAACAACTTTTATCCTCCTCCAAATCGTTTTAAATTTTGAAACCTTTCTCTCTTTGCACTTTTCTTACCTTCATTTTTCTCCTCCGTATCCAAACGATTAGATTAATCTTGGACATTCTTCCTATGGCTTGAATCTTCACTTAGTATTTACTCTTATTCTTCTCTCATTCTATCCTCCTCTTCATATTATTTTAACAAAAATTCATCATCGGATTGCAGATGGTATAAATTCTATTCAATTGCCTTAATTAAAATGAGATTGTCCATGACTTCAAACTCTGTAGCATACTTATTGGATGCAAAACAATTCAAACATAATTAAATTGCCTCCAATTAAGTCATTGTTCCTAAGTCATCACTTTTTGGACTGTCAGGATTTGGAAAACTAATATTGATTCAACTTATTTACGCAATAACTACATCACCCATATGATAGTCATATTCTGTTAAATATTAGTACTTGTCTGAAAGTTAATTCAATCTTGTCTGGGTTAAATTGCCAAGAAACAATTTCAAGTCATCTTATTCCTTATCAGATAATTGTTAACCACCAAGAAATTGCAAATAGGAATTATAAGTCGCCATTAGTTTCTCTGCATACAGAGTCTTCTTCTTCTGTGCCCTTACAGTCTTTACCTACCTCTATGATGAGAACAGATTATCCGATTCTGATGAATCTTCACTCGATTTTGATTGATTTCCTTCTTCCTCTATTTCCTCGAGTTTGTAATATTAGTCTTTAGCTGTCATTATATAAATATTATAATATATTTCAAAAACATATAAAATAGTCAATTCTTCTTTTTTATTATGTTAGTATTTTATTGAAACCCTTCCATCATACTAATGAATCCAGCATAGTACCAATTCAATGGAATTCAAATCCTCGTTTTTTTCATGACTGTTTAGATCATTTTTATTTTCTTAGTTATCTCGTCTCATATTGTTCCGATAATTTCATTAAATGACTTAAACAACAAATATTAAATCATAAACTATGATATCAATTAAGAAAATATTCAGTGTTATAAAAATAACAGCAAAATTGATAAATTGATTAAAATAACTGAAATTTTATTCGGTTTATTTCTCAATATATATAAATCGAGTTTGTAAGTTATTTGAGTCATTATTAAAATAACTAATTGCCTTGTTTTCACAATGTACAGATACCTATCTAACGAAATTGGATTCAAAACAACAACAGCCTTAATGAGCTCATTAAAGATTGTTGTCAGGGATTTAACAGACATTCCAGCAATTTCTGTTTCCAAACTGAATCAAGATGAAGTCAGTCATGCTATCGATATCCATCAATTAACTTGGTCACAGAGTGTCGATACTTCTAAATTAGTTAGAGAATACAAATTCAATAGCTTCAAAGAAACATTCGTCTTTATGGGTTCTGTTTCATAAATAGCCGATTAGATGAAACGTATATTTAATAGTTAATGTCTTAGATTTCCCAAAATGGACTCAAAAAGGAAGTGTCTTAAGAGTAGAAATGACAACTCCAGATTGTTAAGGAGTAACAATAAAGGACTTATTCTTGGCTTATACAATGGATAAGATAGCTCACAACATTTCAAACTAACCTGTTGAGAATGTGTGTGACATTGTCAAAATCCAATCCACTCAATTACTAAACACATGGAATTCCAACTATAGTAGATAAGAGGAAGTGAAAACTTAGGAGTTCCAAAAAAACATCCTCTAACTGTGATTCATCTATATATCTATTTACAATTGCTTTAAATTACAATTTAACTCACATTCCACCTTGCTAGAATTGATTCTTAGGTAGATATATAAAAATTGAAGGCGTTATTTATTTCCCATTTAATTATAAAGTTTTTGTTTACTCTAAAATTCTTATTAATTACCATAATTAATTATATGCTTTCATCCATTTTAACTTCTGGAAAATAGACAAAGAATTAAATCAATGATCTATTTTCAAAGCAAATAGAGATCGTAGAAAAGTAAGTAGAATCGAAATCCAAAAATAAGGTTGATTTAGAAGAAGACAATGAATAAGGAGCCCAATAAACTCAAGAAGACAAAGAATAATTGGATGCTGATAGAATAAAGAGAACTTTATTTGTAGGCAATGTGAGTATCAATGCTAAAAAAAACGATATGAGAAAACTATTCACCTAATATGGCGAGGTATATATATAATTGGATAATAATTAGATTGAAAAAGTTTGGTTTAGATCAATACCTGTTGATAGAAAAACAAAGAAGGAAAATGTCAAACTACCAGTGAGAGCTGCTGTCCTTATGGGCAAGATATAAGAAGGAGCCCAATCTTAGAATTGCTATATACTATTTAAGGATGTGAAATCTGCAAAATCCGCTACATAATAAGATGGTCAATTATTTATGAATCTGCATCTGAGATGTACCTTAGAAGGACAAAAGAAAGTAATTAACTAAACAATCATTAGAAAGATCACATTAAAACAGCCTTCGTTGGCAATCTGCCATTCGATATTGAAGAAGAAGAAGTCAGAAAAGCATTCGAGGAAGCCTTTGGAGAAATCAATTATGTTAGAGTTATCAAAGATCCCTAAAGACATGTGGGAAAAGGTTTTGGATACGTTTGCTTTAATGAGTTTCTATCGTTAAAGAAAGCACTTTAAGCATAAACAATAGAAATCAAAGGAAGAGAAGTTAGAATCAAGAAAGCAGCTGAGACAACCAAAAGAGAGGCAAAGGAATTAAATAATGCCAAGAATGCTTTTTAGAGGATTCAAAAAAAATAATAGATCTCATAAAAAGGAAGGAGGCCAAGAAGTAACACATAAAACAAAGAGTAAACTTAAAATAAATAAGAAAAATAATAGTTCAGAGTACAAATACATAAGAAGATTAAGAAGTTGAAAAAGAAGAGAGTATATTATTTATTTATTAATTTAGTACAATCCTATGGAAATTAAAGAGTAAATTAACAATATCAAAACATAGAGGAAAACACAAGTTAAAGATACTAACATTTTCAACTAGTGAGTTTTAATTGTATAAAATAAATTATATTAAATTTAATGTTTACATGTCGTAAGTTTATTTAATATAGAAACTCTATTTTTGATTATACTTTTAATTATAGAATTTAATATATTTATAGAATTTAGGTATTAATTTAAGAATATAAATTCATCACATAAATTTACTAATTTAATTTATTTTAAACAAAAAAATGGGATGCTCTATTCAAAAACACCAATCAAGCTAATTAAATACCAAAAAGTTAAAGGAAAAGTCTTTATTTAACCAAACATTCGATGACGATCAATCCAAACAATAAATTACTAAATCACCTCCAACTTTTTCAAAACATCAATCACCTTAAACTAATTCCAAATAGTTATCTTAAAAATAGTAAATAAAGATTCAAGAAATCATTTTTAACAAAAAAATAATCTCGAAGCAAACTGCTCTGCTGAATTCTGATGAACAATACTAATATTAATAAACTTTAATTGGACTAATTAAAAAATGACAAATCGATTGCCTCATTGAGTTATATTGTATATAAACAGCTACTTAACTTATTAATTTAAATTCTGTTAAATTATTATCAGCTTAATTTCATATAAAAAAATACATTAATTTATGTTTAAATGAGTTTCGAAGGTTACAAATTTTCATATTAAAAATGTAATCTAGAATGATAATTATCATAATTAAATTATCATTTCAATTAACTATGGGAATTTCAGTTGCTAAGCCTACCAGAAATATTTTGGAAACAAAGCATACAAATCAAATTGAGAACTAAATTGAAATACTCGACTCTGAAAACTTTGATGCAGATAACTAAACTATGTCCCCAATTGAATATATTACGAATGAATAACAACGTTCTTCTTCAAACATCACAGGCATATATGCTCGTAGAAATTAAAGAAGAAGAAATGGTATAATTGTAGCCAAAACCTCCTAAATAGATGATGAAATAGAATTTTAAGATGAAAATTGAATATATTATGTTAATTGTGTTATTTAGTTTCTATATTTACAACTTCTTATTTCTTTAAGATGATACACTCCGATTAATAATTTCATTACTTATTTGAATAATTTCTCCTTAGACGAGATGTTATTTTATGTAACTGCTTTATTATAATATAATTACGATGCTTGAGAACATTTAAATTTAATAGCGATTTAATTCTAAATACTCTTATTTCAACTAAATTGACCTCTTAAATTACTGTGTTTAAAATGAGATATTCAAAAGAGTATACATTTACTTATCTGAAATGACCATAAGCTATTTTGTTGAAAAAGGTTCTTTCAAAATCCTATTTATCAAATTTAGAAGAATATTATTAGCATTTCCTATTAAATTTGATTTACTAGTTTGTAGAGGAAGATTTCCTAAAATAAACAACTATTTTAAACTTGTCTAATTGTATTTATTAATATCTTTAGTGATTCATAGAATTAATGTATGTTAAAATATGCATAAAAATGAATAAGAAGACTTTAATCGTTTATATTTATATGTCTCAATAATTATTTTAATTTCATATTAATCAAAAATGAAAGAAAGTCATAAATGTACAGATTAGGTGTCTATCATATTTGAATTTAAATTAGACATTAATATTTTATAATGACAGAATTGGGAAATTATCTGATAGGTTTAAAATAAAAATACAATTATAACTTTAGGAAAGACAATAGGAGAGGGAACCTTTGGAAAAGTTTGCCAAGCTAAACATTAAATTTTGGGACATGAGGTTGCTGTGAAAATTTTAGAAAAAAACAGAATTCATGATGAATTGGATGTTGAGAGAGTCAAAAGAGAAATCAAGATCCTATAAATGTTACATCATCCCAATGTTGTCCAACTGTATGAGGTTACTGAATATCATGATAATTAGATGATTGAAACCGAAACACACATTTATTTGTTTATGGAATATGCAGAGGGAGGAGAGTTATTTGATTATATAGATTAAAAGAAAAGGTATATACTTAATAGAAAGTGTATTATAGAATAAATGAAGTTGAAGCTTGTAAATTCTTGCATGAAATGATTTCAGCAATCTAATACATCCATTAATTGAGAATAGTTCACAGGGATCTAAAGCCAGAGAATTTATTGTTAACTGCAAAAAAGAACATTCTAGTAGTGGATTTTGGGTTAAGCAACATCTATGAAGACACTCTGAAAACAGCATGCGGAAGTCCTTGTTATGCAGCACCAGAAATGATACAAGGGAAACCATATAATGGATTATAGACAGACCTTTGGAGTTGTGGAGTCATACTGTATGCTATGGTTTGTGGATATTTACCCTTCGAGGACAACAACACTTAGGTGTTATATAAAAAGATACTGACAGCCGACTTCCATATCCCTCGATATGTTTCATTAGATGGAAAAGATCTAATCAAGAATATCCTTACAGTAGATCCTAGCAAAAGATATAATATAGACTAAATTAAAGCACATAAATGGTGGCAATTATGGAAATCAGATGTAAATTTAATTCTTTATTTTGTTTAGTATGTCTAGGTTTCTCCATTCAAAGCATCTTTCAATAAAATCTCCTACACTCTATTGCCCAACAGTATATACCAGCCGAGTCTCTCTAAAAATGCAGCAGAAGATGAAAAAACATGTTGTGATGTGGTTGAAGAATCGAATTAAATTCCACAATTTGAAAAATAAGATTCTAGTAATTAATTAAAGATTTAAGAGGATTCTTAATAAGAATAAGAGATTGATTATAACGACTACCTAGTGAATGATTTAAATAAATAGCAAACGGCCTCAGAATAATAGGAAAAATAGGATACTTACGATTATCAATAATCAGTTAGATCTCTGACAAGATAAAAATCAAGCAAATCAATATAATCTATCGCACGTCTTCAAACTTAAATAGAATCCCCTCAAAAACCAATTATTTTATAACCTAATAAATAGTCAACTCAAACATCCCAGAACAAAGGGACAAAACCAATTACAAAAAAATCCGTGCTTACTTAATAATAACAATAAGCAATCCCCTAAAAGAGGCCTATTGCAAAAACAGGTCCGTCAAAATCTTTACATGAACCTCCGAATTTTGAAAATAAATTCATGAAACAAACTAATACATCAAATCTGAGATCAACTAATACAACTAATTCGAACAACAACTCCTTTCATATAAGTCATTAAATGAAGACTGAAATACCAAAAAAGACTTCGAATCCTCCTCCAAAGTTGAGTGCCATATAGGAGTAATTTAAAGAAAACAAAGAAAAGTCTCATTCATTAAAAACATAACCTAATTCCTATAAATAACAATTAGAATAACAATAAATACTAAATAAAGCATAAACCTAAATTAAAAGTTCAACCAAATAAGGAACTTATCAAATATCTTCGATTAAAAAGAGCCTCCATTAAAAATAAGCAATAAGTGAATAAATTGAAGGTTAATAACCATTATTAACGTAACAATCAGCGATAGAAGACAATAATACGGTATAGTTCGAGGATTAAAATACAATTATAGATAACTTTACTCTTAGACTCAATAGCTACAAAAGTTAAGTGATAACAAAATAAGGTCAAAAATAAGGATGTAATGATAGCAATGGAATCGAATCCATTTCAGGTCCGTATAATGTATCCTTTATTACTGCTAAACATCCTAAATTGTTTATAAAAGGATTGTAAAAATACATTTAAGAAAGATACTAACTTCAGTTTACTGCATTATAAGTAAATGTAATAATTAACCTAATAATAGAGTATACAATATGGTTTTAATTTCAATCTATCCGAATTTAGCTTTCAAATTAAACTATTTAGAATTGAGAACTTGGAGATATTTTATTGCTAAATTAATTGTAATTATCTAAAAAATGAAAAGAATGATTTTGAATACTAAAATGTAATCCAAGATTTACAAACTAATTTTGAATTTTGAATTTATCTGTCTATCTTATCTTATATTAAACAAAATAAGTTAAATATTCTTAATAGATTAAATTTAATAGGCGTATATTATTAATTGTAATTTGAATTTGTTTCTTAGTAGTTGTATCAGGATTATATTAAAAGTGAGCCAAGTTAAATCAGTATACTAAAGCATTAAAGTAATTCTTGTTGAATATTGTAATTTCATATTTTGATTGGGTATTAAATACAAATATATTGGTATTTTTAATGTAATTTAAAAATGAGAAGATATTAATGAGAAATAATGAAAAATGATGCTGTAATATGCTTTATTTTATTGATATTCATTGATGAACTGCTTTTAGCAACCTGTTTAAGAATGTATTATTTTCAGGTCTGTCTCTGAATAATGATTGAATCTTGGGTTTTGGTTATAAATCTTAGGCCAATTATTTCTCTAATGGGGTTTGGACTCCTCTGATTGCTGGAGAGGTCCAATTGTTGGATTACCTTGCTAGCATCCAAAGAACAGAGTTGTAATCATTAATGAAATAGTAAGTAGGCATTTGAGTATAATTTTATGGTCCAAGTACAGTTTGAGTCACGTGTAATCTGTATCTCTATTCTTTAGTCCATGTCCATTTTGATTCTTTGACAACGATGGCTAAAATGATATCATTTGATTGGGAATACTTTCAGAGAGTCTCAATAAAAGATTTGGAACCAAGACTTTGAAATTGTTGACTCCAAGCTCTTCCCAAGTTGCTGCCCAGACATCGCCATTATTGTACTCACCAGCAGTAAATGTTGCATTTTGCTGTAATAGATAACAAGTCTTACGAATTTCTATTTGACATGAGATTCCACCAATGAAGCAATTTGTGGGACGTACTATTGGGAATCAATCATCACAGGGTAATCATTCACGTATGGATAATCTCCCAATCTGAAGAGATCATCATNGATAACTTTACTCTTAGACTCAATAGCTACAAAAGTTAAGTGATAACAAAATAAGGTCAAAAATAAGGATGTAATGATAGCAATGGAATCGAATCCATTTCAGGTCCGTATAATGTATCCTTTATTACTGCTAAACATCCTAAATTGTTTATAAAAGGATTGTAAAAATACATTTAAGAAAGATACTAACTTCAGTTTACTGCATTATAAGTAAATGTAATAATTAACCTAATAATAGAGTATACAATATGGTTTTAATTTCAATCTATCCGAATTTAGCTTTCAAATTAAACTATTTAGAATTGAGAACTTGGAGATATTTTATTGCTAAATTAATTGTAATTATCTAAAAAATGAAAAGAATGATTTTGAATACTAAAATGTAATCCAAGATTTACAAACTAATTTTGAATTTTGAATTTATCTGTCTATCTTATCTTATATTAAACAAAATAAGTTAAATATTCTTAATAGATTAAATTTAATAGGCGTATATTATTAATTGTAATTTGAATTTGTTTCTTAGTAGTTGTATCAGGATTATATTAAAAGTGAGCCAAGTTAAATCAGTATACTAAAGCATTAAAGTAATTCTTGTTGAATATTGTAATTTCATATTTTGATTGGGTATTAAATACAAATATATTGGTATTTTTAATGTAATTTAAAAATGAGAAGATATTAATGAGAAATAATGAAAAATGATGCTGTAATATGCTTTATTTTATTGATATTCATTGATGAACTGCTTTTAGCAACCTGTTTAAGAATGTATTATTTTCAGGTCTGTCTCTGAATAATGATTGAATCTTGGGTTTTGGTTATAAATCTTAGGCCAATTATTTCTCTAATGGGGTTTGGACTCCTCTGATTGCTGGAGAGGTCCAATTGTTGGATTACCTTGCTAGCATCCAAAGAACAGAGTTGTAATCATTAATGAAATAGTAAGTAGGCATTTGAGTATAATTTTATGGTCCAAGTACAGTTTGAGTCACGTGTAATCTGTATCTCTATTCTTTAGTCCATGTCCATTTTGATTCTTTGACAACGATGGCTAAAATGATATCATTTGATTGGGAATACTTTCAGAGAGTCTCAATAAAAGATTTGGAACCAAGACTTTGAAATTGTTGACTCCAAGCTCTTCCCAAGTTGCTGCCCAGACATCGCCATTATTGTACTCACCAGCAGTAAATGTTGCATTTTGCTGTAATAGATAACAAGTCTTACGAATTTCTATTTGACATGAGATTCCACCAATGAAGCAATTTGTGGGACGTACTATTGGGAATCAATCATCACAGGGTAATCATTCACGTATGGATAATCTCCCAATCTGAAGAGATCATCATATTCTAGAAAAGTGAGTTGGAAATAATACAATTTTGGAGTCCCTTATTCATGTAGATGTGTTTTGCTGGATCCAATCCTTCGAAAGGAGCACCAAACACATTGTATTGATAGACTGTTCTGAAGCACATTGAGTTGATCTTACCCAAACTAACCAACTTTGTGAGCATTTTTGTTATTTTTAATTATTATATTTACAAATCAATGATTTTTAATATAAATATATATAATGAAAGTTATATATTAATTCTAAACAAAAAGTCTCATTCAAATTATTAACTCTTATATTGAAAAACTAAATTCTTTTGAACAGCATCACCCGATGTGAAATCTGAGATGAGTTCTTCTGTAATGTGAGTATCAATAGAGTTATTTATAATATTTATTCCATTATTAATTATAGATGTAAATTACTCAAACTTAATTATTAGAATGGGTAAAGGATGGAAACAAGGTGACTTTGAAGAAACATTTAGAGGATGAGTTGAAGTTTTCTCAAAATAAAGTGCACGACTTTTTTGCAATGGTCGATGATTAAAGAAGAAATGTTGTGCATTGGGCTGCCTATTTGGGATAATATAAATTGTTAAAGTGGTGGTGCAAGAAGTACAAATTGATGATCGACTTGAACAAAGGGGATATGCATTCTTACACTCCCTTAGAATTAGCTAGCATCAAAGGGTATGTCTTTATTTCAATTAATTCTAAAGGTATTCTGGAGAGTATAATCCAGAATAACAGGAAAATACGATCAGATTATTGCTTGATCATGGGGCTCAAATACCGTAGTCTAACACTTCCAAACCAAATCCTTTGCATTGGGCCTTTTATTATGGAAACAAAGAACTTGTAGATTTTCTGATCTCAAAAAAATTTCAACTCCAATTAGAAACAGATTAATAAGGGAACTATCCAATAGATTACTTATTTTTGGAGAACAGACCTGATTAATACAAGTATACATATATTTATTAACTAAAAGAAAAGAAGTTAGTGACATATTTGAAAATGTCATAATTAATTATGCTTAGATAATAACTAAGTAAACTTTGAATCGCAAACCGAAGAAGAAAAAGGTGAGATAGCCTATAAAGAAAAAGAATAGGTAGTTCAAGGAGGAAAAACCACATTAAGGCACAATCGTCATGAGTTAACTTCCATTCATTTAAACATAGGGGAAAGATGATGAGTCTTCTCCTGAATCTGAGCCTTCTAAGAATGGGATACCATATTCCAATATATCGAATTATCATAGAAGCCAAACCTCAAACTCTTTCATTTCGAAAAATACTCTCCCCAAAAGCAGTCAAAAATCAACTTAGAATTAATAAATTCTAAATAAGTTCCAACAAAGAAGTTGTGGCTAGAAGATACAATCCAAGAACCTAGATGAGATAGCTGATGTTCCTCTCTATGACGATTCTCGAATTGAAATGAAAGAACCCGAAGAAGAGAAGATACCAGAAATAAAGATATTCAATCAAAATCCAAGAAACCCCAATTCTTAAAAACTCATTCCAGAAAAAAACTAAGAAAGTCAATTCAAAGCAGACGAATGCAACATAATCATTAACTAACCTCCTACCATACTATTTAATTAAGAAACATCACCTCCCAAAGTCTTTGATCACAGAAGACATCATAAAAGCAATAAATTTAAGTCTTAAAATGAAGAAGATATGGAAAAAATTCATCTGAAAGAATAGGACAAGTACTTCATTTATCATAGCAATGCCAATCTAACCAAAAATGAGACTTATGAATGTCGGTTACAATATTGGTCTGCCAGATAGGGTAACACAGAGTTCCTTATTTATTTCCTAAAACGGAGATGCAATCCCTTTCTCAACGTCTATTAGGGTTTCAACTGTCTTCACATTGCTGCTTTCAAGGGGAAACTTAAAATATTAAAAATCTTACTCGAAGCAGAATATGAATATTACGACTATTCTGGAGAGAGCAATCACAAAAATAAAAAGCAACTAAAAGATCAAATCTTCAATAAGGTATATCAATTGACATTATCTCTTAGAAAGAATGCATCAATATCCTGACAGATTAAAATCCATCAAATGCTTTACATTTGGCCATTGAATAAGAGAAGTATAAATGCATGAAAACTCTGATCTTGCATGGAGTATCCGTCGACACTGTGAATAGTAGGTGTCTCAAACCTTTCGAATTGACTTTCAACCAAGATATCATGGAATATTATAAGGAAAACATTCAGACCAAACAACAAATGAGTAGTTTGACTGAGTTGGGATACCAATATGTGATTTAAACTAGAGGCACCTTAAGTGTTGAATAGGATATTGTGTATCTGCAATTGCAGAATATCCGACAAACCTTCAAGGATAGGGGGTGGAGTTTCGAGTTTATGATATTTCATGCTCCTGATCTGGAGAAACTTGAAATGTACAACGACAGCGCTTAAGCCAAAAAGGTTAAGTCCCTTTTTCATTATTATGTGTTGAAGTTGCCCCCTGATTCAATCTATAAATTAGCAGATTTATATTAGATATCATGTTACAATTTCTAAACTAAAGTAAATTATTGCCTTAATTTTAGTACATCTGTTAATTTGATTACGATAATAGGGGTTTTTTTGAGTTCCCGAAAGACTTACAAGTGTAAATGCTGATTCTAAACACACTCAATGATGAATTCGATGTGGATAAGTTTGTCTTAGAGAAATTGATAATTGCTCATTATCCTCTGGAGGATATTTAAAAATGCGAGAAGATCACCTAATTTTGGGATGAATAGCAAAATAATTGCATCCAGGATTCGATTCGATATGAAACACAATAAATTGCATTGAGACCATTGCATGCTATTGCCTCTTATTTTGGCCCAGTTGTTGCATGGTACATAGCCTTAAATGTACAAATTATAGGATGGCTCATGATTCCCTCAGTGTTTGGAGCGGCTTTGGGAATTTACATCATAATAACCAAGGAAGTGAAGTATGAATATTAAGGGAATATGTTTTAGTTCTTCCATAGTCCCTTTTTACGCATTACTGATGACACTCTGGTCCACATTATTCATGGAGAAGTGGAAGAACAGAGAATCTGAGTTGAAGTTTTGTTGGGACATGCACAAATTTAGACAAACTCAACCCCAAAGAGTGATGTACACAGGGTAGTACATCATAAATGAGGCCACGAATAAGATTTAGATATACGATTACTTTACCACTTTTAAGAGAAGGTTGATTGCTGAAGGACCTGTAATTTTGATAGGCATAGCAATCATTGTTGTGAGTTTCTATGCATTTAATCTTTGGTTACAACAATGGTAAGGTAATACGGTAATGCCGATAGTGATTAATTCTTTAAATGGAGTGTCAATGACAGTGTTTTGTGATTTATACAAAAGACTATGCACATCTTTGGTAACATGGGAGAATCACATGTACGAGTCTGAACAGGAATACTCATATATTTTGAAGGTGTTCTTATTCGAGTTTCTAATATCATATGTGTCAGTGGTGTACGTTGCAATATTTCAGAGCGATGCTTCTCAATTGAGTGTGTCGGTTGCTAGTATTATAATAACGAGAGGAGTGATATCAAATGTGACTAGTAACTTTTTGCCTTACTTCTTTTTTAAACAAGAGAAGAAGATGTTTTCAGATAAGTTTTTCGAATTCAAGAGAATATTTTAATTGAAATCAGCAGAAAAGAAACAGGTTCACAATATTTGCAATTCCAAGTTCAGCACTGATAAACTGAATTCAGAAGTACAACTGTAGTTTTTGTAAGAGTTAGAAATAGGTCGCATTAAGCAACCTTAGAAAGTCCTTTATGACGAATACACAAGTATTGCCATTCAGTTCGGTTACACAACTATGTTTGCACCAACATTCCCAGCTGCTCCGTTATTTTTTATGATCAATTGTTACATCAACTTGAGATGGTCAATTTATAATTATCAGCACATTTTAAAGAGGGAAAGGGCGTAGGCTGCAGATTCAATTGGGATTTGGCTGTAGATTTTTGAAATAATGAATTATTGTGCCACGTTTATGAATTGCATTGTTATTGGAACTGTTAATAAGGAATAATTCAAGGGGATTATTGGCAATTAAAATGCCCTTGTTAGTGCTTTCTTCCTTGCTGCCATAGAACACGTCTTGTTGCTTATTAAATACATTCTTGATGTTTCAATTCCTGATTGTCCGTATTGGGTGGAGAAGGAACTTAGAAGGTATGCCTACTTAGAAGAAAAATACTCGAAAAATAACAATTGATGTTTAATTTATTTGTTTTATATTTAATATCAATATAATAATAATATTCTAAAATTACTCATGGAGGAACACGATTAATGTCATGAGGAACTGTGTATTTCAATTGTTGAATCATAGACAATAACCAAAAGCATTATAAAGTAAATTCTGCATCAAAGTCAGACCATCATTGTCAACAAACACATAAACTCTATCTTGCCTTTACTAGGATACAATTGGTTCAGAGAATAGGTTATCGTACTGATGGATGAGTATAATTTGAGAAATGACGATTTTGAAGAAAACGTAATCGAGGACTCTGAACCTATAGCTGTCAACACAGAACATTGGAGAAGATGTCAAGGTCAAGTCAAATAAGTTACATCGAGGGAAAACTCCAAATCTCCTGTGCTCAAGAGAAGTGATACAAAAAGAATGTCGAAATTGGTAACCATGAAAACCTCCAGACAAAGCGAGTGCTTCAATTCCCAGCTTATCAAAATGGGCGAGTTGGAAGAAGATTAAGAATTTGATCCCAATATTGAAAGCATTAGATAGGCTAAACTAAGATAAATCTCAATTCAATAATAAAAAGAATAGAATGACAAAATTAAAATCCTCGAAGTCCAAGAATAAGTGAAACAATTGAAAAGATTGAATGTGGATGCCAAATCCAAATACACCTTCGATTATGAAGGCAAGGTTGTTGTCTAAAAACCCCCAGATATTGATAGATATCCAAAATCATTTTAAAATATCAGTGAAAAACGAAGTTTAGTGGAGGTGAGAGATCTCATCCCAAATCACAAGATGCAATCAGAACTCATACAATTAACTAGTAAGAACAATCAAAACATTGGCTAAAATAACCAATTTGCCGTCAAAACATCAGTCCCACAAATTGATTTAATTATCATGAAGGAAGGTGTTACCTTCTATGATGGCAAACAAGAAAAGAAAAAGGACAGAGTGCTTCCCTTGATGGATATCAAAGACCCACTCCAATTGCAGTAAACACTGTAAAAATAAAATGTATAAATGACTAAATTAGAATACTAATAAATTACTAGCACTTCATCTAATAATAATACATTCTAAAATAAAACTATGAGTCTTTCAAGCTATTAATAATAATAACAACACTAACTTACGAATAGATCTTAATAATAAAATGACAATTTATTAAATATGAATGACAGTCTCCTAAGTTAGAGAGCCCCTAAAAATCTAACTACGATGAATCATTCCATCTCCTCCTCGATCTTGCAAAGGTTGAATGGTTCCATATCCATCTTAAGTGAATAATAAATTGAGGAATTACTTGTCCCTTAAACTGAAGGGAATAAGGATTAAAAGGAACACCCTTTGTTTCTGAAAAGAAAGAAGACAGAATTAGATGTGAAACCATCAAAATCTGTGCCAACTCTTACCTTTGAATTGCCATAGATCCCTCCAAACATTCTATGTAATACACTAAGTAAATTGCCTAAATCCTTTCAAAGCCAAGGCACTTTTCCTAAATTAATTCCCAAGTTTCCCAGACAGAGGATTTCTAAATAAGCTATACAATTAAAAATCGAAACATGATCTATTTCTATATCATATAATTAATATGATTATATAATAAAATGAAGAACAGGAAATGTTTCAACAATAAGAGTCCAATGACACTGAGTAAAAATTAAAGAGCTCCTATGTATCCAACGAATATCTTGAAGCTGGAGGCGGTAGTCCATAAAACTCAGTCGATTTGAAGTAATTCAAGGCTCCTTAAATCAATCAATTACCGAAAGTAATGGTTAATGCAAGCAGCTACCAATCAATTCCTATGAGTTCTCAACTCAGATATCAAGATGATTAGCAATCCCAAAAAATGAAAACTGGGCCCAGTGATCAATCAAAAATTACACCTGGCTATACTAAATACATGATTGAAGAATCGAATTAACAATATGATTACGTGAGGGGAATGTTCACTGAGGATGAAATCAAAGAGGCATTCAATTTCTTGGACATGAATAAAGATGGAGGTATAACATCTGAGGATCTCTCATTCTTCTTGGATTTCATTGGAGAAAAGGCAACTATAGAGGAAATCGAAGAAATGATAAGAATGTGTGACAAAGACGGAAGTGGAGAAGTAAAATTTGAAGATTTTAAAAATCTAGCTGGAGGATGGTCTTTGCCAATCTTAGGTTAAGCTCATCCACCAACAAAAGAATTAGTGGAAAAGCGTACTTAAATCAATCAAACCATGATGGAAAAAGAGGTTCAAGAAGTTGCCAGAAAAGGCAAAATAACACCGCAAATGGTAGAACAAATCAGAAAAAATGAATTAACAAGTCCAAGATTTGGCCAAGATGAATAATCCAAACTTATGTTCTAGTCAATTAACAACATAGCATCCTAAAAGAAATAACGACAAGTGATAGGGTAGAATCTCAAGGTAATTCGATCCGAGGAAGGCTAAATAACTTAATAAACTAAACAAAAATCATCTCTAAGTCAAAGGGAAATCATGCTGCAAAGAAAAAATAACGCTATGAGGTTTGTCAAAGAGAAGAAGATCGATCAAGCCTATATCTTGGATCTCTTTGAAAAAATTAATAAACTTGATATTATGGAATCTTGTACCTATGAGGATTTCATTCATTATCTTGACATTTTAGATAGTAATAATAAAACAATATTAAAGATCACCAATCAAAATTGCTATTTAATTCAATGAATGAAAATCCCGTAAGAGAAGAATATGTAAAAAGTTCGGATAATGTCATTGTTGATTAAACTGTCAATCTAAAAAACACTCTTCTTACTTTATTAGGCTAAACCAATTGCAGAAAACACGACAAACTTGAAATAGCTTACTTACTCTAAGATTCTAATCAGCAAGGGTATATTTTCTTAGATGATCTGATATCTTTGCTAATCAATTTGAATTGCATCTCAGAAGTAGCTATTATTGAATAAAAAATATTGAAAATGACAGCCAAAAAAGGATTGAAGAATAGAAAGGATACAATAAAAAAAGATATCTATATTAGTATGGTAAATGAATATGGATAGGTTTTTGAACCAATCTGAAAGATCTATTAAGAAGCCATATAATATAATGATTTATTATAATATTCATTCAATATAGCAGATATTCTTTTGTTATGAATCAATAGTTGAGTGAGTGGAAATTATTGCTTCTAAATATAAATGTACTCTGCTTGAGAGCTATAATACTAATATTTTTATTAATATTAATGGGTGTCTTCTTATTCTTGATGGGTTTGGGGTCAATTATTGAAACAATTTAAAAAATGGGTAAAATTGTTTTAAATAATTTACGGAACTGAAATCTTTTTTTTTGATGAAGTAAATATTGATATTTATGAAATATGGAGTAATTTGAAAACCCTTTTTCAAAATTTAGAAAGATTTTATTATGACTCTATCAAAAATTATATTAATATTAGTTACTTTAATTAAATATTTTAATAAAGATTTAAATATAAATATTCATTATTCTATTTGAACAAAAAATATTATATCGATTTTAATTATAAATTTGGAGCGAAAACATAGAAAATATATAAATAAAAGATCATTCTGGTAATTTTAGAGTGGATAGAGTTTCTGGGAAGTGAGATGCGATAAAAAATTTCCTGATATATTTTAACAAAGTTGTTATTTCTGGCACCTTCTCTGAATGAAGTATGTCTTCTATAATTTCAAAGCTGGCGAAGTATTTCTTAGCAATTGCTGCTGCCTCTTTGTTCTCCAATACCTTCTTGATGTCCTCTCTTGAGTAATTTTTTTTCTTGGCCTATAACGAAATGAAATGCTTGATAACTTTGTTATCCTTTACTTGTGGAGAACATCGGTTTGCTACAAACATTATATTAAAATAATACCGAAATGATTTTTTAACAGACCTCCTATATTTTTTGGGATATTTTTTGCCTCACTAGGGTTCTTTTGCTTTGGTTTTAATTCCTGGAATGGAGATACTTGTGGTAATGTTTCTGAGGGGGCATTATATGAATGATCTTCGAAATTGAGAGAAGATTCTTACATATTCAATATAATTAATATTGACTCATATAGAGGATGCCAAATGTAATATAAACTCACTTCAATAAATCTATCTGATACTTGATTCCTCGGCTAAGATTTAACTTAAATATTATTAATTTATCATAAATTCTATCTGAATTAAGAAACGAATATTGACCTGTAATTAAATTAATTGATCTCAGATAACTCATTAAAATACATCCTCCATGATATTCCTTTATAATTTACCTGTTTTAGAGTCACTTAGCAAAAATTAAACATCATAATTATTATCATGACTATGATTCTTAAACTTTACACAGTTGTGTAGATTAAGAAATCTACTATGAAATACATAACAAAAACATTAAAATTCGACTAAAATTGAACCTCATCTCTTCAACAGGATGTTTAATTTTTTATAATAATTATTTGAGTATTAAAAATTTAGAATAATTAATTAGAATAATATTTTATTTCTAATTTATTCTAATTAAATAATTTTATAAAAATTGTTTACAATCCTTAAAACTATTTAGATAAACTCTGTTCATAATCAATAACAACCCCCAACTATGTCTGTAGGGTATCGAGCATATTATAAGCTATGAGCGAAATCTTTTTGAATTTTTTTGTTCAAACAAAGATTTGTGTATGACACATTCAAAATCATACTTTTTTTTTTTATAAAGGATGACATTTATATAGGATATTGAATTTAACTAATAGATTTATGAATTATTTATTATAATTATAATATTGAAATACATTTTGAATAAATCAATGAACTTTATTTTAAACCTAAATATATATATATTTTATGAAAAGACTTAAAAGATGAAGTTAAAACTATGAATGAAAATATTATTTAATCCACAGTGTAGTGATTTAAAGTTGCAAACAACACTTAGAAAATGTAAGCAAGAAATGAAAAAATAAGAAAGAGATTATCTCGTTCTATCAATTTTAATAAGATATATTCAAAAGGGAAAATGTTATAGATGAACATATCCTTTACTTAATTCTAACAAATCCTAATGCCCCTTATCTATCATAATTATTACATTCAAAAAGGAAGAGTAAAAATTTGCTATTACTAAAATGATAAACTAAAGTAATGAGAACAGATAGGAAAGTAATATTAAAAGAAGATGGATATCTATTAGATTAATAATTCAGAATCAGTCTAATTTCAGAAATAATTATCGGATTAGTTAAAATACAGATGAAGTATTATTTAATAATCATAATTGTTATTATAATTTTGAAGATTCTTTTGAAGAAATAGTTAATTGTTCATCAGAGAATATGCTTCCAAAGTGGCTTTTTGTTCTCGTGCTGATAGATTATTGTGTTTCACAATATTTTGTTTATTGTTATTACAATTTTTAATTGGCTTTAAAATATGGTTGTGAGGGTATAGTAGTTTTTGTTGAGTTATAAGAGTTCCCTATTCTTGAAGTGAATGGTTAAGGAATATTAGTTGGTGAGTTTTAGTTTTATTATGTTTAAGGAGTCTACACTTAATTTAGACTCTTTGTTGAATCTGGTATTCTGAGCATTTTATTATCAATTATCCTATTTTAGATTTCTTAAGTAAGCTTCTTATTTTCCTCGAACCAATATGGTTATTTTATTATGTTTTGCGAATCGAAATAAAATCTATTGTTATATAGTTATTTTAGTTAAGTTGAAGAATTTATAGTTACCAAATAGATTTATTGAATTTAAAGTAATTATTGTGATGGTAAGGTTCGAAACGAATCAATTAATTGGCAAATCTAAAATTATCATTTAAAATAGTACTTCTTGGGTAGAAAATTTGTACATCGTCATGCAATCATTCCAAAGAACACAACTAATTTCAACGAAAATACTTTAGGAATCTTTGTTTTCTATTTTTTTCAATGAATTTATGCATAAATCCAATACTTGTATGCATTAATTAAGCAAATTGTGCAGCTTAAATAAATATAGTGTTTTTTATTCAAACGTAATGCTTCCCATCTATTTTTGCTTATTCAATTCTAATTTCCTTTGTTGATAATCCCTATATTGTAATTATGTACCTCTAAAATTACTGTTTCTTTTCTGAATCCTACATTATTAATTTTGTTGATCTCTTGTAGATCCTTGACTTTAGATTGATATTTAATCTTAGTCAAAGATAGGGTACTAACCTATCTTACAAGCATAAAACAGTTTTAAATTTTAGGCTAATTTCAACAAATACATCAGATAATTTTAAACAAATAAACTGAATTCTTAATTTTATTAGACATGAAGTGCTGATCCATCTTTTATCATCTACTCTGCAATAGAATCTCCTAATTGGAATTCATATAGAATCAAATGAATGGTCAGTATAATCTTAATTGCAACGAAACCCTCTAAATGTTTATTAGTAATCACTCTGAAAAACTATTGCAAGTATTCTTTCCCAGTCAATTGAATTCCTTTGCATTCAGGACCAAATCCTTCAAAGCACTCTATTAAATACAATATATCTGGCATTAAGATGATAGGGTTATTCTACAATAAGGAGCAACTATTTAATTTTTACGAAAAGGGTGTGGGTTACTTTGAAACAAATGAGGATAATAAATTACTGAATTATTTCATCTATATTATATTTATTTAATTATTCAATGATGTTTAGAAAAATTAAAATTAATACCTTGAAATAAAAAAAAGTAAAAAATAATGAAAAATATTTATCAAGCATTAAGGGAACAAAGAAAGTAAACTTTTAATGCCAATAATTATATATAACCTTAATTTTTAAGAGAAATTATCAAATGCATTCCATCTGCACATCATCCTTTGGATCCAGAAATTCAATTCTCAGTTCTATTCCTTTCTTTAAGAGAAAAGTTCTAGTTATATATTTCCAATTATTTTCCATCATATGTGCATAACAGCCATAATTTATTTCATAGGTTAATTTTAGATATTTGTATCACCTCTTTTTCGTTATTATCAATATCGATTACTTTTATTTGCAAATAATCTGTAGATTGCTTAGTTTAAGAACAGAAATTAAAGGAAAACTCAAATAATCGAATAAGGACATTTATTATTTGTCCTTTTTAAATTTGATAATATCAACTTTCTATTATATTTTATTTTATTAGCAGAATGCTAGAATATGATTAAGTTATCTTGTTTTATATGTTAATATACGATATCATTGTTCTATGTGTCAGATAAATTATATAAAAAGATAATAATTTTATGCGTATCAAATATTGATAATAATAATTGAGATATTTTTTCCCATTTTTTACAATTTTCATATTGCATTTCTCTTAACTCATAAACTCATCATGGTTGATCTTACTGAAACATAATATATTTATGATTAGTAATTTTGCACAAAAATTAATATTGCACCTATTAATTCAAAATTAGCTCATTAATGTATTGCAATAGGTGTTAATAATTTTAATTAAATTCAGTAATTTTCACGGAGTTGATGCAATTATAGAAAGCAAAACCCATATTCAATAAAAAAAATAATACAATAATGTTATGAGTACCTGTCTAATTACTAAAATAATGTTATCACTTAATTAACAATTTATATATAAATATAATTTAAATGACTCGATATATAATCAAACTCTTTAATTGAGAACTTCAATACTCCATTTAAGAGAACTTTGAAAATTCTTCAAATATATCGGCTCTCATTCGCACAGGTACAGAGGAACCGTCAAATTATAAAAATTGATTGATAAAGTTATCATTCTCTTCTTCCTTTTGAGATGTGAAAGTTAATAAATTGTGACTGTTAGCATAGCTATGAATATTGCTATCATTTGACATAAAGTTAGCGAGGTGATGATCAACTTTGAGAAATTCATTATCTGAGGACTCAATGAACATTTTATGAAATAATTGTAGTTGTTGGATATCCTGATGATTGCTTATAATACTAACATTCAGCTTATCAGATTAGAGCGATTGTAAAATGGAATTAATGCCTGATTAAGCTTATTCTTCATATTAGTGTATTGATTTATTTTATTAAATTTGTTCCATGATTTGTGGCTCAATATCTTCTCTTCCAGTTTCAAGAGTATTTTAGTTATTTAAAATTTCGACTTAGTCATCGTCCTTGGTAAGCTATCTCTTTTGATTTGGCACAATGTAGTAAGGATTTTCTTGCTTGGCGTAATTTTTTCTAATATATCCATAAAATCTATTCTTTATCATGTTCTCCTAAAACATTGTTAATACTAAAATTTTACTGGTCTTCCTTTTAGTTTCTTAGCCATCTCAGACCATCTTGAGCCTATCTTTTTGTATAAGTTCCATATTTTTAAATCTTCTTATTAACTCCATGCCTTAGTGCTTATATTTGGATCTAAATGATTAATATATCGTTCCCTAATTTGCCTTCCAGTTCTATTTGGGAGAAAACGAGCAATCACCTTCCAGTCAAACTTATATTCTTTAGTTAACCTCTTAACTTATTCATCTTCTTCAGATGTCCATTTTTAATTTTTTTCTTCCTAGAAATCATTAATAACTAATAATACTGTATTAGGCTTGACTCTTTTCCATCTTTACGCACATTAACTGGCATTTCGTCCATTCAAATACTCTGCTATAAGTTTCCAATCTGACCCATGTACAGAAACTGCTGATTTTAAGATGTTATCTTCTTCCTCAGTCCAATATTTTCTGATTTTAATTGAATTTTAGTATTTTTTACAATTATTTTAATCTTTACTTATCCTTTTCTTGATCATCTAAAAAATAAATTAATTATTTATTTATGTTGTTAAGTTATATTTAAACCCCAAAGAAGGTATATAAGTATAAATCAGAATAAAACGGTAAGTTATGTTATGCACAACTCACGATTAAAAGTTGCTTTCATTTTTTCAAATTTTAAACAGAATTTTTAACTATCCAAAAATATTATATATTCCAAAATTTATTTTACCACCCTATACTCAACTTTACTAGTATCAGTTATTTCTTACTACAATTAACCATGTATATGTCACCCTTACCGTATTTTTTAAATTAAACAACAATCTAAAGACATTTTCCAAACTTAATACAAATCACGAAATAACAACCTAATGGATATTATAATAAAACTGCCAACCAAAGCTCCCCTATAATTTTGCCACCCTGAACTTCTCGTTCCAACAGGTCTTTCTACCAAATTCACTACCCTCCCATCTTGAACAATCCTATACCCAAGTAATTTTTCAAAAAGTTAGGATTTAGACTGATATTTGTAATATATTCTTGTATATTTAAAATATATATTTTAATATATTGAAGTTTTATAAATTAATATTGTTTTAACCATTCGTTCTAATTTATGTTGACTCTTTGCATTACACAGAATGGCTAATAAAACATATGATAAGAATGAATATATGATTTGCTTTAGATTTCAATCACTTAAAAAAAACTATTGCATTCAAAATTTTATTGATCCCTAGAATGTTGTTTTTCTATCCATTCTTAGGTATTATTTCCTGAATAGGCCAATTATAAAAGGCATAATTGTGATAACATCAATTTCTTATTCAGTAATTTCTGTAATTGTGTTTAAAAATTAATGTAAGTTTATGAAATTTATTTTCCTACCATTATCACTTTGCATGTACAATACAATAATCTAGTAAAGTAATTCAACATTGATGTTTTTTGATCTAATTTTATACATAGCTAATTGTTTAGGCGAAAATTCTTGCCTACACATTTCCTTAAGACTGTTAGATTTTAGTAATATGAAAATCCTTTTTAATTTTTTCTTTAAATCCATTCAGCTTGGAGGTTGAAGCCATTCTGAGATGTTAAGTATTAGCTAAAATAACAAAGGAATTTTTCTAAAAAGGGTATTCATAATGACATGGTCATTGATTTCAATAGTAGAAAAAAAAAAAAATTCACTCATATTAATCTAAAAAAATTACTGTGGATCCTTTGTTAGCTTAATATGTCATAGAGAGATTTAAGTAGCAATATTTTGGAATTTTTAGATGTGTTTCAGCTTATCAAGAGATAAACGCTTTTTTTTTACATTTAAATATCAATTAATATATGTTATAACACTTCAAAAATTTGATTAATGGTTCTAATGACATTCCAATTTGAAGTTCTCTTATTGTTAAAGATCAAACTAATAAAAGTCATTTTGATAATTTTATTTACCCAAAAATTCAACTCTGATTGAAATTTCAATACAGGTCATCTAATTCGTTGATTCTATCATCTATTATAGTGCTTATCCTATGTTTAACGTAATTTTTAATTATGTTTTACATTTAAAAATAAGCTTATATTATTATTTAGCACATAAAAAATCAATAAATTAATTTGTTCAACATAAACATGTCTATGAAGATCAAGAGTAAAAGGTTGTGATAAACTAGGTGTGTAGATAATACAATTATTGCTAGTTTGTTTTGAAACAAATTATTAATACATGGAATTAGTATGGAGGTTATATAATAAATAATAAATAATATTTTTAAATTTACAAAATTAGTCTTAGATACTTGATGGGAGTTGATTTGTGTTCTCAAATACCAACTGAGTGTTTTGCTATTATCATTATACAATCAGGTGCAATAATAATTTTGATGCTGCTAATATTATTGATGTATCGATATTAAATAGTCCACAAATTACATCCAATTATGATAGTTGATGTTGAGCCAATCAAATTAAATAAACTGTAAAATATAGCAAATTGTGATATGTCATACGATTCAACTATGCACCAACAATGAAAAAGTCAATATACTTTGATTTAAATAATTAATTAATTTTGAATACATTGTAATTTATGAAGAGATTGATGCCAAAGGTTATATAACAATAATAATAATTATCTAATAATTTTACACAAGATCAAACGAGATTTTCTTTAGCAATCAGTTATCTGAGCTGTCTTTCAAATAGATCATCAATAAATAATGCAGCCTATGGTAACAAGATTGTTATTTTCTTAATGTTTTAATATTCTATCAAATACTGGTTTCTAACAAATATAAGAACAAACAATATCTTAAGGCAGGTAAACACGAGATAAAAAATGGAAACAATCTATGATATTACATAAGAATTACTTAAATAGTCATATTTAATTAATCTGCTTCTTCTGAAAGTCCTGTTTTAATGGTTTCCAAAACACTCATGATTATCACACTCAAATAAATTCCAATTTCTATCTCATTAAATGGTGCATTCGTTCTTTAGGTAAATAACTAAGAATTATTCATTTCTGTCAGTAATATATTTCTCACTTTGTTTATTGTTATGGATAGACCTCGATCCATAACATTATCATAGATTTATTTGCATAAAAATTATTATGACAAATCAAAGGTTTTCGAAATACTTTCTACCTCGCATAGCGTGTGATTGTTCAAGTCCAACAAGTTTTAGTCATTGTAGTTACTATCAGCAAAAGTGTATGTTTATAGGAAATTGCTCAAACTATCCAAACTACTTTATATGATTTGTAAATATTAGTCAGTTAGATTTTAAGATATATATTCATATCCTTTAAAGTTATTACTTTTAAAATACAATATTTCTCTCAAACTGTAAGCTTTGGGAATAGACAATCCAAGTTCTCCAATTTAGTTATATTGCAAACTCTTCTCTTGATAGTAATCCATAAATTTAATTCCTTAAAAGTTCATAATGAACGAATAAATAAAGAAAACGCAAAATAGAGTTGAGTACAATATAAAACTGCCCAGTCTACTTAATAATAGCTTTTATTTGGAATCCAATTTGATAAATCCTGTTCTCTTGATCTTGTCTTGTATTATGTGTTTCTTTGATAATTCACTTCTAAAGAATCTTTCCTTCAAAAATATATTAAATTTATATCTAAACATTAAATTGGAATCTTTATTAAGTAAGCCCAATAGCTCCTTGCATCTTTCCAAGTCTCTTAACACCCAAACTACATCTACCTTCTGAAACAACTTCAGCACTTTGGAGTATTTGCGAATGTGTTTAATGTACAATAGCCATGCTGACAGTTGAAATAAGAGAATTAAATAAGTGCATCTAAGACAAAGCAAAATCCACTTTTCTTGCAATAACAAATTGTTATCACTAATATATGATACTATTTCGGTGTTTAAGTTTAGAATTTCTTTATTGACATCATCCAAATTTATTATATATGATATTAACTATTATATCATTTATTCTAGACCATTCTCCTATGTAAAAATGGATTAAAAATTATATTAGTATTGGATGATTTAAAAGATTGCTTCTCTTAATGAAATTTGTTCACTTGTAAACTCATTACCTTGAATGTATTTAAAGTCCATTAAAGTAGTTGATAGGTCTTACTGAAGCAAATTGCCTTTAGTTTAAAGGGAGTAACTTTGTTTAATGTTTGCGAAGGATTGGTTTATATTAAATTGATGATATTGTATTAAAGATTCTATGCTTTATTGCTAATTATGCTCAAATGATCCATTCATGTAATTGTATGTAGAAGCAAATGAGGATAGAAATAAATAGCAAGGGTTCATAAACGAAGTGTAGAACTCTAACATTTGCATTTAACTCAAGGCACTATAGATATCTGTACTCGAATTATTTATTAAAATGATGGCAAAGATAATTGATATCAATGACACAATTAAAAGTGAGAAAATCATTAAATCGAACATAATAGAGAATTTAACAGATGACACAATCTATTGCAGCAAATCATATTTTTTAAACAGTTAAAAGTTTTATGAAAACGTTCCTAAAGTGCTTGATGCTGCATTATCCAAGTTAATTTTCTTTGCTTGCAAAGATGTCTAATTTTCTTCATTTAATTATTATCTTAGATTTTCTCTGATTTCAGCATTTAATTAGTTTTATTCATTGTTATATTTTGCAAAGCCTTTTTCAACATGCGATTGATTGGATTAAGATTATTCCTTTTCTTTTTCCTCATTTTAATTTTAAAAGAATCTTTGCTAACAACTTAGATTCATTTAATGTGTAGCAAAACTATTCGTTTTATCAATCAATTACCTATGACTTCTACCTGGACTAATTAAATCATACTATTATATCGATTCCGAAATTAGTTGTCGTTATTGAAGTGATACGATTCTATTAGTATCTATTTAATCAATATTCTCATTTATCTCCTCTTAAATATAACAATCATTTTAGATTTCTATTTCTTTTTTTAATTTTGGAAATAAATCATTATTGTATTAATTAGGCTATTTTATATGTATTTCTTCAATAAAATCGTAATGTTCTTATTCAAAGTTATCAAAATCATTGGATTCCTATTGTATCGACTTTTTTGATTCCACGACATTTTTGATTTCAATAATCGAATGAGTTAGTTTTATAGTAACAACTATGTTTGCATAATAGAATCTGATTTAATCATTATTTTTCTTAATTTAAACACTCTCATTTTATATAGATTTTTAAGCAGTTTGGACTTTATCATTGTATACAATTTATACGTTGGAGAATGGTTGACTTTTATCAATTTTATTGTGATCAATTAAATTGAAGAATTCTGGTATTACTTATTGAATATCCATTAAATATAACAAATCCGGCAATTTTTATTACTCAATCTCCTAAAGTTTTAATTGTTTACACAATTCCCTGGTTACACCTAATATTAGATGTTTATTATTTAAGATAAGATACGAGTTGACTCCATTGTTCTCAGAGAAAAACACTTAAAAAGTCAATTCTTATAATTTTGTTAGATCAAAATCAAAGAAAAAATCTACTGGACATAAAAAGGAATCTCTTTATAAAATTAAATTCACATTTTATTCTCTGAAGAATTTCGATCTCCCTGAGATTAAGAAATCTTCAATCAAGTGTTTATGTATGGATTAAAATCCTCTTGGTAATAATGATAAGATAGATTTGACTTCCTTCAGTTCTTATTAATCATAATCGATTATCTTATGCATTTGATGTGATCTTTCCACTATCTACAACCCTGTCCCTTAATGATCCATAATTAAGATCATGTAATGTAATTACGTAGTTAGTAAATCAACCTAGTAATTTCTTTAAATCTTTATTAATGCATTATCTGATATTGCATTATAGTTAATAATCCTGTAAGCTTACATAAAATTATTTAAGATTTCAGCACAGTAAAATGAATATATAGATTGCATTTTCTTACTTGGGAATTCTTAAAATAAATGCTGTAGTTCATTTTCCATAAAGTTTATTCTTCTGATCAGATCTAAGCATTGATTTAAGAATCTTTCTGGATTCAACCTTTTAGTTGAAGACATTATCATAAAAATATCTTTCTTTCTGTTGATAATATTAGTGATATTTTGTTTCAATTATTGATGTTGTTCCTCGACTTTCATGAACAATTGCACACTTTGACTTAATTGAGTCTTTTAGATTACATTTCCAAAACTAAAACTCGCAATTAAATTTTATTTAGCTATCTCTAATATAATGCTTATTTTTATTTGGTTAATGTAGCTGATATGATTTAAGGAGATCTTTTCAAGTCTATGGATCATATCCGAGTTGCTCTTCTTCTTATAGACATTCTAATTCTCTTCAACCGTCAATGAATAAGTAGTTTGTTCACTGAAGATATTTTACTGGTCACTCATTGAATGAACGCTTTATTTGAGCAATAATATGTTAGTTTGTTGATACGCTTTGACTGATTAGTTAATTGCGATTAGACTCTGGATGTAAAATAAGCAGAAGAATCCCTTAAGTCCTTAATCAGTTAATTTATTGATGGATTTGCCAAAATCTAAGATTAATTGCCTCAAGTATAGTTGTTTTAATTTAATTTCATTTTCAGATCCTTACTTTTTACATGCACATAATTTATCTAGGCAATTATTCTTATGATGAAATAAAAATAAGGAGAGAGTGAATTATTACACTCGATTCAATTGATTCTTGGATGAAAATACGGTGATTAGATATTATTGTGTTTGAGTTGATTGATTTTCTGGGAGTCTTACAAGGAGATGGAAATCTTTCTTTTTTGTTATTGATTAACTCAATGCTATGGTTAGACTGGGAATTATGATAATTATGATTATTAAATTTTGCTTTTCTTCTATAAAATTATTCCCAATTAAAATGGTGGAAATTGATATAAATGCTACATTCAAATTGATTAAGTAATCTTGTATGTAGCTAACGTATTGATATTTTTTTAATAATTAATTTAATTTAAATACTGATTAAAATAGAAATAAAACAACAATTAGATAATTCTTAACCTTTGTTTCTAAGGTCAAGCAGTCGATTATCACCATAAAGTATATTAGAAACGTGTAAAAGTAATCCAGTCCTTGAAATATGAGCACTTTAAAATTGAACAAATGTAAGGTAATAGCCTCTTTCACGAACATTAAGTATAATAATTGAATCCACAATATGAGGACCAGGGTCAACATTGAAAACAGCGTGTTAATAAACTCTATAGCTCCGAAGAAGTCCTTACTAATGTTTATTTGAATTGAATAACACACCAATTGAATGCAGGGTATGCATAGTAGTTTGTCAAAAATTGATAAAAACACTAAACTAAAACTATGAAAAATAAGTTTAATATTATTGCTTTTCATAACGTATTCCATTATGCTTTTTGATGACTGGTTTGAAAATAAAAAAAAAGTGATCAATTAGTGGAATATATATAAGGAGATCAAACCTAATGGAATTATGTACGAATAGTAAAAAAAGTTATCTTCAAAAATTAACTTATAAGGCCTTGAAATCATCGAAAGAAAATTCAAACCGTAATCAATATTCATTAATGGTAATTGAAGTAATTCTTGGTTTAAATTTAAAACAACAACTCCAAATATCTAAAATTCTGAAATCAAATGAATCAAATACAACCACAATTTGCTAAACTTAATAAAATGTATTTCAAGTAAAATGTGGTAACTTGCAACATAATAGTTAAAGTTTTTCAATTATTTAAACTGCTTCATGTCCTAAAATATGGCTTAGCTAGTTATTTTATAATCTAATTTAATTTTATATAAATTTCAATCCACAAATGAGCACCAAAACCAAGAATTCATAATTTCTAATTTCTGAATTATCTTCTATTTCTCTTTTTAATTCCGACTCAGATTAATTTGAATTTCTTGTATGAAATAATAATTTAGATGAAAAAATGAGGTTTATATTAGTTTTAGTAATATTTTAATCATCAATCAATGATTATAATTTAAATTCATGCACTCAAGCATATCTTGCATAGTAGTTCACTTTTATCAAGAACAATAAAGTAATGAAATCCACTTTACAACATAAATATCGAAAAAGCAAAGAAATTTCAATTGCAATTCATGATTTTGAAAATGGATAAAAGAGATCAGAAAGTAGAGGATTGTCTTTCTTATTTGGAGAATGAGAATTCTATAAGCCAGTCATATGACTATGCATTGAAAAAATTAAAATTTAAACTTATGATATTGTTAATCAAAAAAGATAAATGAAAAACGACATCGAATTGAGGTCGCAAATAAATGTATGAAGGTGATTGATCATCAATAATAGAAAGGTATGGAAAATGGATTTATCATATGAAGACAAATAAATCAATTCTGCTATTTATTATTTTTAAAAAGGATAATTTAGAGGGGCTATAGAAAGAAAATTTTTTGGTTGATGTAGATAGCCCTTCGACTACAACCCTGGGAATAGAGCTCTAATAAATGCGCAACTAAAATGATATTTTACAATAACTTTCAAGCTTAAATCAAATACACTTAAAGGTTCATTGGATCTAAACTTAGGAATCTAAAATCATTAAGTATGTGGTCATTTTCTTATAATATATCTGGATACCAATAATTTGAGATGTTTATGTGTGCAGATTACGTTATCAAATATGTTGAGAATACGTTTCACACATGTTGCATTGATTATTAATAGAGAGTGAAACTCGAAAATGGATAGTAAATCCACTGTTCGGGGTGTCATAATCAATAGTAAATATCCATATTGCATATAGTGTTAATGAGTATTATTCTTCAAAAATAAATTTAAATTAATTTTATTATATAAATAATTCATTATGTTAAATCAACAAGATTAATTTGAGTTGGATTTCAATCTATCATATTCGTTGGATTAGAACTAGGATTTTTACAAATTGCCGAATTAAATTTCGTGTAATTTTCAAGGTTAAAGAACAAACTTAAATGTAATGTATAACTAAACTTTAGATTGATTCAAAAGTAAAATAATTGCCTCAAGATGTTCAAGACTCCACATAATAAAGTGCCATAGCGTTGTCGCAGTACTTAAAGATTTGGGATGTCGATCATCAACAAATTGATTACTTCTATCCATTTTAACTTCCTCCGTCCTCGTTTATGGGGAACTGCCAAATATTTCCTCATAGGCCCGACTTATTATAGGTTGATCAAGAAATTATGATTAGAACGAATACCATTAAGTGTAGGATCTGAGCAATACATAAATCTCCCAGATTTTCCAGTCGGGTACATTTGAAATACAATCGATGCAATTTCAAATCCCGTATGTTTGGCAAATATCCTCATTCATAGTCAAAGGTAATTGAATCTTTTGAATAAAGGACGACAAAACATTACCAAAAGTTATTTTTCAGATATTGGGATGGCATACCACATTTACAAATTTGAGAAAAACTCAATCTACAATGAGAGAGATAGCATGGGTAGAGAATGTACTATTCGTTGTTCGATTTACAATATCTTCTCTGTAAGATATGCATTTAAAATAGAAATTAACATTATATCTAAGTTTACTAATTGGATTTCGAGAAACCTATATAGATATTGACATCCATTAATTAAAAAATTAAATCGAAGCTAAAAGGTAGATTGAATTGAAATAATCGGATTACTACAAGAGATAACTATATGAATATTTGTAATTTGAGAACAATGAATAGTCCAGAACTGCTGCAGAAAGTTAGTTGACCAAATTAACGCTCATTTAATCTGAATTCAGAGATCATCAACAAGGATTGAAATTATCAATTCAAAATTAATTCGACTATTTAGTTGAGTAATTTGGGCACAATCAAAAATTCGATGACCATGAAGAACAGAAAGAATACTTAGATAATATCAACGAATAAATTAAGCTATTAGAAAGAGATTATCTAAAGGAATACGGAATTTAAGTAGATATATAATAGGATGTTAACGAATAAATAAATAATGCAACCAGTATAGCTCAAGTCAAGTTTTGGCAAAGTAAGTTGGGTGATGAATTGCCTTTAGTTAGTAACATTAATGAATTGAATGAATGTGGTCGAGCCTTAAGATACTACCAACAATTATTAGACGTAAGCTCAGTTATTTATTCTTAGAATGAATTGCAGCAATAAATGGAGGAATTTGAAAAGAGATTAATTCAAGACCACCCTATACGTGTAAAGTCCTATCATTTTGTTGCTGAATAAAGGGCTCAATATAGAAAGCAGATGAAGACATAACTTAAAGAGAAATATAGAATCCTATTGGTAGAGGATTTAAAAAAATAAAACATTAAAGAGGTAGAACTATATTTGAACTACCTTCAATAAAAGGCTCAATTAAAATAGGAATTGCAATTATTGATTGAAAAGACTGAAAAGGAATCCTAAAGAATTAACATTACAATCTAAGTGTAATAATATCAAAATACTTTAATTAGAACTCGTAGATGTTTCCCTCCTTATAATATTATCAAAACTGGAGATTACTACAGTTTAGAACGAACGAGGAGTTATTCAGTAGATTCAAGTTTTCCCTTTTGGAAGTTTTATCTGATGATAGTGAGATACTTTGCTTGGACAGCCAATGTGACCTTTTGGTTATTCGCAAATGGCATCTCGGGACCTTTGGGAATTAGAGCGTTAGTTTAATGCAAGTATAATATTTAATCATTCAGTGTTTTCTATCCAGATGTGTAAATTAATGAGAGAACTGGGGTAGTGAGCAGATCAAACTATTCGGTCACTCCAGTAGTGGTTCAGATGGGTAATGTGTGTAAAGGCATGAGTCGATCAAGAAGAGAATTTGAAGCATCTCCTGACACAGGGTTCTTTGGTAAGAACTGTGCTCGTTTTTGTAATTACATTGAAGTTTACTTTTTCCGTTTTTTGATTGTTGGAATCCTTGGAGTTTTAATATTTATCCCTGCATTGATTATTGCTAATTTTGTCATCTCTTTAGTCTTAGCCTTAACAGCTTGGGCTTGGATACCAATTGTATTAATAATCAGGTTCGTATTATATGATTAATAAAATTAGTTATCTATTTTAACTGTTGATTTTTGATTATGATTGTTCAGAAAGACATCATTGGAATATCTTATCAACACCAATTTGGCTCCCTTTATTTTTTAATACTTTTGATTTCATAGTAAAAGGTGTCGTAAATTTTATATGGAATTTGCTAATTTGTTTTATCATTCTACCTATAAGCAGCATATTTATGGTTATATTTGGACACTTAAGATATATATTTAGATCCATATATGACGTTTTAATGATATTGGTATCAAAATATAATAACAGATTAGTTTGTTAAATGTTTAGGTAGAGTTCCTGCCACGGAAAATTGGTTGGCCTGGAAGGTATCTGGTCCTGGAATATCTAGATAATATTACTTTACAGTAGAGATTTAATTAAATTATGTTAGATAAAAAATGAAGAAGCGTTGATATTGGTTGCAGGAGAATTAGAAAAGTGCATATTGAAAGAATATCAGAGGAGGGTTGAAGAAGAAATTAATGGTCCTTAAAAGTAAGTATAATCAGTCATGAATAACTTTTTCTCTGTTTTTGGGGTAATTGAAATTCTATTTAAAATCTAGGCTTCTTATAGTTTTCATGATAGAGGGTGCGATAAATTGATACAAAGTTTAAATTAATAGATCAGTTAGAGAATTTCAATTTTACCAAACATTTCTAATAATATTAGATTTAATGAATCTGAATTAGCCATCATTAGAATGCTTATTAAGCAACTTATTAAAAATTAGATAGCATTGAAGGACATGAAGAATTATATTTGGAAACACTATTAAGTTTAAAAGGGAGATTACAATGAGTTGACATCAGAATTATTGAAAAAATGCTTTGGTCATTAGGTTTTATCACCTTTAGAAGATATAGATTTAAGATTTTCATTAGTATTCAATATATATAATAAAACAGTAAACAGATGAGAATTACAGCATATCAAAAAAGATATCCAAGGCTTTGGAAGGACAAGTAAATTTGAATTAACCAACAAACTTCGTTGTAAAATCAAGTAGTGTTTCAAAGAAATCAATAATTGTAAAACAGTTTTTAGAGTTTTCTGGAGTAAATATAAATATATATACCTAGACTATCCAAGAAGTATGGGGATGTTAATCTACATATCAAAATTGGTCAACATTGTCAGACAAGTCTAAAAGATTTTTCATCAACTATTGTTTAAGGGTTAATTAGGATGCATGAATAAAATGTTATAAAAAAATGTATAAAAATTATGAAATTTCTATTTATTTTTTTAGAGCTTATTGTTATTAATCACTTTTTAATTTTTAATTACATTAAATTTAGCATTTCAAATTATCTCTAAAACAACCATAAAAAATGATTAAGAATTAGTAAGTGGATAGATATATTCGATTTATAAAATTCTATAATTGTGAGATAACCAGAATATAATTTAGTTATTTAATTAATCAATAATTATTTTTATTTATATTTATAACCAAAGTGAACTGCAAGTGATGGGAAATGTAAGGATTAAGAAATTATTTGTGTTTCAAATGAATAATAAAATCAATAATCATACTTCACCTTTTCTTCCAATTTTGCTCTTTTGGTATTTACTAATCCAATATATTCACACATCTAAATAAATGAGCAGGTTGGGTTAATCATCCACCATTCATTCTTAGAGGCTCTCCAATCTCTTGGATATTCGTGATGCCAGTTATGCCATCCTTCACCCAAGGTAATCAAAGAGACAAAGATGTTATCTCTTGGTTCAATTCTTGGATTCCACTTTCTACTTCCATAAAAATGACAGATTGAATTAACACACCTAAATTATTAAATTAAGGAATACCATGTTGCATTCAATGTGAAGATGTATTTTCCGAAGCCTAAGAACAAAAGACTGAAGAACCACTTGTCGCTTATTATCAAACCAGTCAAGGTTGGAATGATGAATGCCCAAAGGAAAGCCATTTTATAATAATGTCTCTTTTGGAACATCACAACGGAATCGGCTTTCAAATCAGATAAATCGAGCTTCATTCCTTCTTCTACCAACTCCTTGCTCTTATTTTTCAATAACCATCCGCAATGAGAGAAAAATATGCCTAATTATGAATTGTGTGGATCCAATGGTGTATCCTTTAATTAAATTAAGTTCATACACTAAATTTGTGGTGAAGTCTGTGATCTCTGCTCCAATGCCAAATACTTCCTTAGAAACAATTCGAATTCATAAACATCAAGAAAACTCTAATTGGCCATGATGCTTTATATGATTTATGTGCCCATAATCTGTGAGCTCCACCTGTGATTCCTAATCCTGTAAGGCAATGCCAGATTAAGAAGGCCTAAATTTAATGAAAATAGTTACAAGGTAGTATTTATAAAACAATTCTGACTCCAAAAAGAAGCTCCAAATTATACCGATCACACCCAAAACATGACAGTATAACAACCATCCTGACTCTATTAGTTTAATATCTTTTTTATCACAGTACTTGACTATGGGCTCAAATATTTACATAAATATTATATTTTATTAGATTCTTTATTATCCCCCTTGCTTATAAACCAAGGAATGACGTATAATTATTAAAATATTTAGAAAATAATTTATTCCAATAAAAATATAAATCATTGGATAATTATAGCATTTTTATTATTATAATAATAGAATTCTCCATCTTAATTACTTTGCCGACTAAATTTAACAATAACCAAAACAAATTTAAGTTGAATAATATTTATCATAAAATTAGCTAATTTAAGATATTGTTCAATTGCACAATCCTGTTGTCTTCTCCACATTTTATGGAACAAACTAGGTTGCAAATATTTGAAATTCACCATAACAATATTCAAAAAGTAACTAGAATTTTCATAATTATTAGACGGTAATTGTAAAATATCGATTTACAAGCTAGGATTTTAGATATAACTTATTAAATTTATCTTAATGTTGATGAACTTAATCATAAAGGATGGAATGCTAATAAATAGTAAGTTTTTAAGAAACAATAAGACTTATTTGATCATGTATCATATTTTTAAATCTTGAAATTATAATAACATTTTAAATATAATTACTATGATAATGGATATACTATGTAGAAATAGAGTCAGATTTTAGTATATAATTAATAGAATATCAAAATATCAGTTTACAAATCGAATATGTATAAAATCATTATTGAAACCATTAATCTTTTATTATCTAATGTTACAGATGAAATCAGTACTTCCTTTGTATTGCATCTCTCATACGACCTAACTCTCAACATATTATTAATTAGTCTCTAGGCCTATTAAGATATTCCATTGGATGAGAAGATGCCTGTTTTGATTTTTGAAAACAAGTCTTTTTGTTCCTTACCTTGAAAAGGAAACTTCCCATGTAACATCACATATAGTAAGATTCCTAATGACCAGATATCAGCAGGTTTTCCATAATCAATTTTTAAGATAATCTCTGGGGCCATGTATCTAGTAATTTTAAGAAAGTGATTACGAAGGAGTTCCACAAAATGAAGTAGTTTTATGTTCAATGAACGAGCTGAAACCGAAGTCAATGAGTTTAATTTTGTTGTCTTTGATCAATATATTTTCCAATTTGATATCCCGATGTATCTACCCTTAGATATATAATAAGTACGATGTTTTTAGAATGGCAATAGTCAATAGCTTTAACAACTTAGAGAAAGATATTCTTGGCCTCAGTTTCTGGGATCTATTTATTTGGTTGTTATTTAAGATATGCTCTTAATGACAATGGACCAACATATTCCATAACTAATTGCACTTGGGTCTGAATATTAAAAGATATACATCAGTGTAAATTACGTCAAGCAACTGAACAATGTTGGGATGTTACAATGATGACAGAATTTAAATTTCCTTCCTTATGTATTCTTTTTTTGAAATAATTTTTATCCTTTCGTAAATCTTTATTGCTACTTGCTATCCATTTAATAAATTTAAGCCCACCTTAACAATTCCGTAACTGCCTTATCCAATCTGTTCTTGTATAAGGTAGTTTTGTATGTTATTTGAGAAATGCTATGAAGGTATTGTATATCCACCTGCAGTTTATGGTCTTCTTTTTTTTCTAGATGTTCTATTTAATTAACTATTAGCCAATTCTTGTAGCAACTCAATTGATTTGTTATCCATTTCTTAACTGATTAATGGTTATTAATTTCTCTTGATGGGACTTCTGATTCGAATTACTGTTGATCTATTTGTTGGTTGTGTTACAATTATTGTTGGTGGTTTATAGGATGCTTTGGGAGAGGGTTTGGTTTGGAAAAAACTTTTTAAAGGCTTCGTGTTTTATTATCTTGGGGATAAAATTTTTGGTGATTATAATCTCTTTTTGGGTATGAAATTTCTCCTTCTTAAATCTTAACTTGGTTTTTATTAAGTATTTGAAATGGCAGTAAGAAGAGGTTACGGATTTTAAAATTATCCAAAGTAAATCCCATTCGAAATTACCTAAGAGGAACGAGTAGTTTTGTTTTGAGAAGATAACCTTTTCATTAAAAATTAATATTAAATATATTATTGCTTTAGACTTAATCACACCCACTAAAGCAGAAATGACTTATATATATATCCAATTCATTAAGAACACTTTAGACTAGGCATTCATTATTTAAAAACCTATTGTAATCATGAACATTATTCCATTAATAAATTCCTAAGTTTGAAATTAAGAGTTTAAGAAAACTCAAGTTTTTACTTACTTAATTTAGATCCGAAGAATTCGATTTCTTTATAATACAGACAATGATTGGCTATCAAATCTATAGGAACTAAATAATATTGTGTGTGTTTTTTATTCATATTATATATTTCATCCTCTTCAGTCCTCTGCTGTCATTTCTTGAAGTATGTCCTAAATCGTAACACCAGGGTCCTGCTCTTTGCGAACTTTCATCTATGCTTCTGCATGTATCAAGAAATCCTTCAATTTAAGCAATTCAGTATCATTGTCTTATCCAGTGTATTATGTTATTGGATAGGCATTCTCAGAATTGGCTTGAATGAATTTCTAAATTTATACCTGAACATTAATCTTCATCATAATCCACGAATATCACATTATGAGGATTAGATGTTGTCATATTAATTTCCTTTCTGATTTTATTGCGAGATTGTACACATGACTATGTGAAAAATAAAATTTACTTTTATCTGTAAAAATTGTGCTTTAATTTGATGCAAAATCGATCTATTATTGGAACAGCAAAGTCCTATATTTGAGTCGTATAGATGCTCACATCATAAATCTAGGACACACTCAATAAAAATTGATCCAGATATGGTCTATGTTTAATATAAAAATCCTGGGTGACTCCTGAAAGATACCTAGAGAGAAATATGATGAGAATATTACTTGATATTGATTTTATCCCATCCTTGAATTGGACTATGACTAGTACAAACGAGAGTCCCTTCCAATCCTATCAATAATCTCAATCTCCCGGTGTAAAAAGAATTGGATCTCGGAATTTAGTGATAACCTCTGAGTTCTAACCTCGGTTTCGGTCTCAACCTTTTACGTAGAAGCGTAAAAGTCTTATCAATGAATTAGCAGAGCCATGCTAAAATTTTTATGAACATAATTTAATTAATAATGTCATAAACAGAACTCATAGAACTACACGAATCCATTCAAGTTTAAAACAAACTCAAACCAATTTTAAAATATAACAACAACACCTATTTAACCACTAACCCCAGAATGGATGCAGCTGGCAATCACATTATTAAAGGAGGTAATCACAAGATTTCCTTCTTGCCGATCTCGAATGAACAATCTCTCAACGTTGTCACTTCCAGCAATATTCGAATCTAGAGTGAGTCTTCCGAATCTGATTAAGAAATTAATGAAAGTAACTCTACCTTACATAAGAAACCCTTTCTAAATTTAAAAGGAAAAAACTGTCAACAAACCTCACCACTCACTGTAAATGAATCAAACTGTTGTATAATATTTTGATATGATAATTCTTATTCATTTTTATGTTATTTAGAACTTATTCCTCAAGATCCTTTAAATAAGATTCAATTAATCCTCTGTCACCTTATTATGACTGACATACGATCTCAACACTACTAAAATTTACTAAACCTATGGTAGATCTTCAATTATAACTTTCTCCCAAAGGATCTAATTATAAAATATTATTTTACTTATAAAGCTTCATTCTACAGATTATATAATTTTGTGATTTATAATGCGGAATTAATTTTAATACTATTATTAATCTAAATTGTTTTAATGGTAATATCTTTTGTTTTTTGTCTCATTTCCAAAACCATCGGCTGCAAATCTTTGAAAGTACTCTCAGTTTTCAATAACAAGGAGTATAGTTCTGATAGATTGTTAATGTTGAAACTTTCAATAGTGTATTTTATATTGGAAATAAAAAGTTCGCTTAGTTCTTGACCTAAAGTTAAAATGAATGGTAACTTTATAAATATTTAAGATTAGCAGTTTAAAACATTATATAATAATTATTATTCATTTGTAGTTCATTGGTTTTGACATATTATTTTAAGCAATTAATCTAAATATCAATAGGTATAAGTTGATCCAATTCGCTAATCATCTAAAATATTACAAGATCATTGTTTACTTAAATAATTTCAAGAGGTGTAAGTTTAAGGATAATTCTTTAATATAACTGCGAAATATCAACCTTATTCTTGACTGAAACATTCCTATATTTGCATGCTCTGATGAATTAAATAAATGCTAGAAATCGTTTAAATTCCAAAGATTCCTCACTTGATTACTTGTTGATTTCTTTGTAAATGTCATCTAAGTTTAAGCAATGTAATTAGGGATCAATTTTTGATGATGATGCATTGCTTTTATTTCCATAAATAATCTCATTCAATTTGGTTTTGGTTTCTTCTCTATGAGAGATTAATGAAATCCAATTATGAATCAGATTGCTGTAAAATAATTGCAGATAAACAATGATTTCATCGTAATTGTTGAACTCTGTAATGGATGATAGGGATTTCAACCTCTCCAATATCGGTTGAAGCATAACCTTGCTATTTTCTAAAATAATTAATAGAGACTTCATCTGATTTAGATTATCCAAATTTTACTAATTTAAGAACAATTGAATCAATAAAGTCTTAGTATTTTCTGTTGATATGTGGAATATCTTTTCTATAAGCGAGGATATTTGTTTGTCTGTCAAAGTTTTTGATAATTTTCTTATTCTGTTTTCAAATTGCAATTTTGCTCTCAAAGTTAACAATTGATGATGTCTAGATATTAGAAATCCCATTTTCGTTAAATCTTCATTATCAATATGGTTCAACCACTTTGAAAATTGTACCTCCGTCTTTTCCCAAAGCTGATTATCCATTAGGTTGATGGATGACAATTTCCAAATGTCAACTATTGAAGCCTTGAAGGGTTGCTATTCGATTTTTTACGAGATGGTATTGTAAATTTATAAACTCTCTTTGTTGATGACTTGGCAAAACCTAAATCTCAAACACAATTATCTAAGCATTTTAATTTATAATAATTTATGAATACTAACAAATTGAGGATAAGTAAGTCCTTAACCAGATAGCGACAATCTCCTATTCCATCATTAGAACCAAAATTATACGTTGGTCCACCAGTAAGTTAATCGCCCCCTTAAAAAGCTATGCATCAAATGACGTTTTATTAAAGATTGAGGTTATATTATAAATCTCAAAACACTTTAACTCCGAAACCATGGAACTCTCCTTTGGATGAACAAAGAACAATTTTAAGATTAATTTCAGTACATGACGTAATTAAGTCGAAAAAGAAGGAATTATAAACTAGAGTCTCTAAAAATGTTTAGATTCAAACGAGCACTCATAAACGATTCGTGACTGATATGCCCAAAATCTAGCCCGATGCTCTTACTAAGAAAATTAGATTAAATTTTAAATCACCCATCCATGTGTTGAATAAAACCAATTCTTTTGGTCCTTGGGATTCTCCTTTATGAATTGTAAATTATTTATTTTGCAATTGTATTTAATTATAGACAACATATATTCATTTATTATCAATTATTCTCAGAAATATATTGGCAAAGTCTGGGCTTTCTCAATATTTGAAGGACTACTTGATAATTTCGATTATCGTCTTCTCTAAACTAGCTAATTGGTATCAGGCCCTTTCAAAACTGGAACTTTTGAGAAAGAAGCTCTTTCAGTTGGGACAATGTAAAAAGCCTACCCACTGCCATCAGTATATTGTTTCTTTAAAATAGATTCCATATTGGAATTGTGAGACTTGAATTTCAAGGTTTTTGGTTTAATAAGGATCACAGATTGATCATCATCTGCTGTTAAGCTTTAGGAACATCCCATGTAGATTAATTATTTATTTTTATTAAAAATATTAAAGTACTGCTCCTCTATAAGTATTAAGCTAAGAATTCAGTCAGTTATATCTGTCTAACTGTATTCAGCAAGTACTTAATTCATCCGAATGCAAATAACATCAATAAATAATATATTCAGTAAAATTAAATGTCATGGTATTTAACCTCTACTTCTCATGTTAATAAAATTACATAACTGTTCTCAAATTAAATAAACATTCATAATTATTTTTAGAAGCTCAAACAAGTAAGTTATTGGATATTGTTATTAGAATTCAATTTCATCTAACAATTAGAATATGATAACAATTTTATAGATATAGTTCACTATTAAAATTCACCATTATTTTATAAACTGAAACCATTTTAAAACCATTTTAAAACCATTTTTATGTAGGACTTCATTTGGATTCATTAAAAAAATATGTATAAACTATTATTAAAATATTGATATTTATTTTAAAGTAAACATTTGGGTTATTTTATCAAGGAAATTTTATTATTAAAGAAAACCTTTTTTTACATATTCCAATTAAGAGAATCCACTCTCATCTTTAAAAATATTGTTTTAATATAACATAAGATGGATGCTTGCATGTTGTTGAAGCAACTATTTATAAAGTAGTAAATTGATTTATTACCCTTAAACAACTATGCTGTATCGATGATTTAGTAGTTCCATACATTATTATTAAAATATTTCGTATTAAATTAACAATTTTAAATGAATATTACGCGTTATGAATTTTATAAATATTGATTCCATCTATATATTTATTATTTTAAAATTGAATTTGGACAAATATTTATATTTAGAATACTACCCTTAAATTAAGAAATTTATTTGAATAAATTATAATCAAATTCTGTTGTTTCTATAAGTTATTATTTCATTCTTTTGATAAATCATAAAGTCACACTTAAGCATCTTTTTAGTATCCAACGTATCAATGGAATCAAAATAAGGTTTAATACTTTATTATATAGAATCAATAAAAGAGAACAAACAATTAATAAAAATATGTGATTTTTGAAGCCGAAATAAGTTGATTCAAATCCAAAAGAATTGGATGCAAGTCATAACCCCATATCACAAATCAAAAATACTGATGAAACTAATTTATCAATGACTTATTATAATTTTATTAGATTTATTGTAAGAGACATGTAAAAAATTATGATTTTTAACTGATATAATAAATGTGACTATAATACTAAAAGAATTAATCGAGTGAAATTTGGGGAATTAATTAATTTTCTATTTTACAACATTATTAAAACAATATTTCAAGCTTATTTATCGGTTTTCAAAAATGGATTAATCCATCAATTTAATATCAAAAGTTACTTCTTCAAATTGATATTAATGCTAAACAACAATTGTTATCTGAAATTCACTTCTATTATTAATAACTAATACCCACTAACAAATTCTTCATCTACAATTAGAAGAATTTATTAAATAAACTTTAGATAAATTATTACATAAATGGCAGAAATTCTTCAACCAAAGTTCTTTTACATACAATATCACTATGGAAATTTCATCAGATTCACAACAAGTCAATTTTGTTTGGATCTCCCTTTTCATCTAAAGGGATGAAACACAAATTATTTTTTTAACTATGATTTGAATAGCTAAATTATTATATTTTTTATATTATATTATTTACAATTAATACTAAATAACGACTAAAAAAAAATTAAAATAATGTTAATTATATTGAATTAAATTATATTAATTTTCAAAAATTCATTACCAAATTTAGATATAAAACTTAATTTTTAGAATTAAGGGTGAGTTTTTTACCTGTAATTCAACTTAAAAAATAAAAATTACAATTCTTTTATTGCCATAAAATTTCTTATAAAACTATAAATTATGATCTAATTAATATTATTAATTGTTACTAAATTTTTCTCAAAAATATTTTATTATTATCTCATAAATGATATTTATATAGTTGAACAACATTAAAATAACTGAGAAAANGTAGTTCCATACATTATTATTAAAATATTTCGTATTAAATTAACAATTTTAAATGAATATTACGCGTTATGAATTTTATAAATATTGATTCCATCTATATATTTATTATTTTAAAATTGAATTTGGACAAATATTTATATTTAGAATACTACCCTTAAATTAAGAAATTTATTTGAATAAATTATAATCAAATTCTGTTGTTTCTATAAGTTATTATTTCATTCTTTTGATAAATCATAAAGTCACACTTAAGCATCTTTTTAGTATCCAACGTATCAATGGAATCAAAATAAGGTTTAATACTTTATTATATAGAATCAATAAAAGAGAACAAACAATTAATAAAAATATGTGATTTTTGAAGCCGAAATAAGTTGATTCAAATCCAAAAGAATTGGATGCAAGTCATAACCCCATATCACAAATCAAAAATACTGATGAAACTAATTTATCAATGACTTATTATAATTTTATTAGATTTATTGTAAGAGACATGTAAAAAATTATGATTTTTAACTGATATAATAAATGTGACTATAATACTAAAAGAATTAATCGAGTGAAATTTGGGGAATTAATTAATTTTCTATTTTACAACATTATTAAAACAATATTTCAAGCTTATTTATCGGTTTTCAAAAATGGATTAATCCATCAATTTAATATCAAAAGTTACTTCTTCAAATTGATATTAATGCTAAACAACAATTGTTATCTGAAATTCACTTCTATTATTAATAACTAATACCCACTAACAAATTCTTCATCTACAATTAGAAGAATTTATTAAATAAACTTTAGATAAATTATTACATAAATGGCAGAAATTCTTCAACCAAAGTTCTTTTACATACAATATCACTATGGAAATTTCATCAGATTCACAACAAGTCAATTTTGTTTGGATCTCCCTTTTCATCTAAAGGGATGAAACACAAATTATTTTTTTAACTATGATTTGAATAGCTAAATTATTATATTTTTTATATTATATTATTTACAATTAATACTAAATAACGACTAAAAAAAAATTAAAATAATGTTAATTATATTGAATTAAATTATATTAATTTTCAAAAATTCATTACCAAATTTAGATATAAAACTTAATTTTTAGAATTAAGGGTGAGTTTTTTACCTGTAATTCAACTTAAAAAATAAAAATTACAATTCTTTTATTGCCATAAAATTTCTTATAAAACTATAAATTATGATCTAATTAATATTATTAATTGTTACTAAATTTTTCTCAAAAATATTTTATTATTATCTCATAAATGATATTTATATAGTTGAACAACATTAAAATAACTGAGAAAAGTTGAATACATCCTTGCACTATTAGATTTGATTTGTTTTTTATTATTGTTTTCAATATAGAATTTCATTTTCTATTTTTTTAAATAAAAGATTATATTGTAAAAAAAGGATTTCCTATATATTGTATTATTGTGATTTTGGTTTTAACGTAGTTGTCCAAGCTAGCTCAGTAACTTAAAATAGTAAAATCTTTATTTCATCAACGGGATCATGTAAATTGTTATTCACAACTAAACCATTTCAATAAAAAAATTATATTTAATGCAACAATCAGTAACATTATTAGCGACTCTCACAAAAATTCACCACGCTCCATCAAAGATTGACCTTAAAACTCCTCATTTTGAGTGCTCCTAGAATGGGTGCTTTACTAATTTCTATGTTCAAAAGGGCCTCCTTTTCAAATCTAATGAAACAAAAGGAGAATGTGGAACAAAAAAAGGATAACAACAAGTGTATTGTTGTAGACAATGCTATTTAAAGAAATTCATGTGATTTTATTATTATGTATGAACTTCTATAAATAATATTTTACAAGATGGTATCTAAATTTCCTTTCTGCTACCATGATAATGTTGTTTGAAATGGTAGATAAGTTCATGATTTATGATTTCTACCAATAATTACTTGCTAACTGAAAGTTAGTCATAACAATTTTATTTAAACTTTTCATCAAATAATATATTGATAGATGAAGCGATAGAGCTTTGTAACAAAGACTTGCAAATTAGGAATATGAATGTACATTTATCAGTTATACATTAACATGAAAATTTCAGATTTATTACATATACTTCCTCCAAATTGAATACTTTATATGTAAGTTTATTATATTAAATGAATCTAACACAACATAGTAAACAAGAATTTATTATATTCACAAAGCTTAGGAGCTTCAATTAAATTCTTAGAATTGAATCCGACATTTGTTTTCTAATGTCTTTAACTCTCAATAATTGCAATTATAAATGTAACACTAAAAATGGATTTTCAAAAAGTCATTAAATCCAATGTAATTTACGAAAAATAATAGAATTAAGAAATTTGGAATGCTTAGAATCGAAATTGCGAATCCTTAAGTTTTCTAGAAATAAATTTCATACTTCAATTTAAAATTTTCTGTCCCAAAATAGATAAGTTTATGCTAAGTTTAAGTAATAATTAAAACAAATTAGAACGTACTCCATTTTAATCGTATAGTATGAGGTAAATAAGGTTATTTAATTCCTTTCCTTAGTATAAAGGCATTATTTATATATAAGACATAACAACATCATCAATTCTAGGTATTTGATGTAGAAGCACAAAATAAAAAAAATGAATTTCTCGTTCTCAAGAGTGTAATTAAAGAATATTTAGCGAAATATTAGATCTATAACGTGTTTGAATGAATTATTTAGGAGTAAAATTTCATTTTATATTTATATTGTCTTATCATTTTCATTAAAATTAATTAAAAATAAAATATATTAATTTTAAAAATTATTCAATTGATATTAATTATTATTAGATAAAAGAGTAAAACGCTCTTTTTTAATATGTTCTCGTATTGTCATACTTATGAAAACTATTTTTGCTTAAATATATATTAGATAAGTTCTGTATAAAATATTCAATTTAAAAACTTTTCAATAACTTCACTTTACACCATCATCATTGCTATCATATCCGAATGTACTTAAAATGACTATAATTAATCTATCAGTTAATTGTGGGAACTCATAAATTTTCTTGATTTTTTATCTTTATTATTAGCGTTGTTTGATTTTGCGAGATCAATTTATGCGAGATGCATATTATTTAATTTTGAATTAATAAAACTTTCCTTTTATTATAATTCCCTTTACAAAATTTAGAGAAGTTACGGAATTTAATCTGAAGGAACCTACTGGATTTTGGAAGAAATATCTTTCAAATATTGACCTAATATTTTGCCATCTTCAGACAATTATCTCTATCTTTATTAAAAATATAATTACTATTTGTTTATTTTTTTGAATCAAATCCTGTTATAATTTTTATTCCTCGTTTTTAATTTTCTATTGAGATGATTCAACAGAGTCATTCAGTGATTTTTTCAAAATTGTACATTCATTTAAAATACTTTGATTGGACTTTTATCTAAATTAAATCCAATTAATTACAAATCATCAAACTTGGTTTTTAGTTGTTCATGATCATTCCTTACAGATTTATAATAGTCTTAGAGTTGATCTTTCTCTTTAACAGCGACACTGGTTGTTTCTAACAACTTTTCAGTTTTCCTTATTAGATCTTTGAGCTACATTAATTAAAAATGTGCTTACTTCTTAATCTTTATTCTATAGCGACTTTTGTGAGATGGATAGATTCATTAAAGCTTCAGTCAGTTAATTATTAACCATTTTAAGTTCTAGTTCTAGATCATTATTTTTAGAGGTTAATTTAGTAATGGCCTCATTTTTCATCTGCAATTCGTCGATTTAAAATTGAATAATTTTTTAGGAACTAATAGATGGTGAATTCTAATATTATTCTCTTTTTTGTGTGGCACTTGATGATTAAAAGACAAATTCCCTTTACTTGATATTGGATTAAGGAGTTGTAAACACATCATAATTAGAAGAGGGTATTTGTTGAGATCCTATGACATTTTGGATCTTTTTAATTTGCCTGTTTAGATCTTCAATAGGATTGCCGTTATTCTTATCAAAAAGTTTTTGGTTTTTTAGGACATCTATAGTATTTTGCATAGCTGCAATTGTATCTTTGATTTCACTTTTTTGAGATGGTAAGATTTAATCTTAGAAAGAAGAAGAGTTTTCATTGTTTGAATTGATTTCTTGAAGTAGTACATAAATTAAGTATTTAAGTAGTAGGAGATCGGTACAACGATAGAAATCAAAGCATTGGTTATCTAAGCAAAAACATTTCATTTTAGCCACCGTAGAGGTACATGAGTTGTGATTATTCTCTTTGGCAAACTTAAAGTTTTTCAGTTTTTTTTCGATCTTAAGCATAATGAGTTTGGAGTTCTGATTCATCATGGTGAATTGTGAAGATTGTAATTATTGAAGTGATCCATTGAATTCATCTTAATAATCTTGCAAATTGCTGCATGACCTATTTTTTTCGATGATTGATTTTTTAATTCTATCAGTCCATTGATCTGTGTCATTATTTAAGGAATGTACATAGGAATCAATCATGCTCTTTCTCCTGGCAGGAGCCTTAAATTCAGTGGGTTTCATATGAATATTGGATGCCTTTGCTAGGAGTTTGTTGGCATAGACATTAAGGTAGTCTTCTTTGGAGTTTCGATTGAATTGCATTGGTTTAATTGGTACAATAAAAGAGAAATATAATTATTTACATAGTGTTAATAAGCAATAATAAATAGGGTGGGAATGAATTTTAATTAATAATAAATTAGATGGCTACAGCCTTAGGTTTAGGTTATGGCACTATAGCAATATTAGCTGGGTTTGTATTGGCCCTACTCATCACTTTCTTTTTCGGAAGGTCTACACGATCTCCAGAGTAATCAATAAGGCAATTAAAAGATTAGTTTGCCTGTTAACGATGTTAATTCCAATAATATTGATCATAATCTTCACGGCATCACCAAAGAAAAGCCAGATTCTGACGGATTCCGATTAGGTGGATTCCTACCTTCCAGTTGATATATTTGCAATGGTATTTGGGATTGTGAGTGCTCTGAGTGCATTGCTCTGCATATTGGGACATTACTATTTCCAGGGATTGAGAGCAATAAGAATAAGTTCGCAATTGGAGATGGAGAGAGATAAACAGAAATTGGAGAGGAAAAAACCAGCTTGAAGTGATTGAAGCTATTATTATAATTTTAAATTTTTTCATGCCGCCATTCAAATAACCCAAAAAGCAAGTCACTTCAATTGAGAAACCTGTAGTTGAAGAACAGAGACCTTCCACTGCCTATTAGGTTGTATATTCAAGAGACATCCGAAAAAAGAAGAAGTAAATGTTTGATGGAGTTTTGGTAATTGAAAATTAAAGAATGAAATTGTTTGATATGGAATCTAAATAATTATTTGCAGGCAGCGATCAAATTTATGACAATATTTCACAATATTATATGGGATAATTCTATGGTATTTTAGATAAATAACTAAAATAATAGTTGAACTCATGAATCAAATATCTATAGATGAATTCAAATCTGGTAAAATATTCATGGCTTAACCAGAACCAGAATAGAAGGTTATAGTTAAACCCAAGAAGCCCTTCAAATCTAAGTAATAACCAGATGTAGAACCTAAATTTACTATTTTGGAAGGTTTTGATGTTGATTCATTTCTATATAAATAATTGAGAGCACATCAAATTGAGGGAGTTAGATTCATGTTGGAATGTGTGACAGGTAAAAAAGGAAAATCCATAAGAGGATGCATTTTAGCGGATAGTATGGGATTGGGAAAAACATTGTAAGCAATTACATTAATGTGGATTTTGATATAATCACATGAGATATCCAAAATAGTTATCACTTGTCCAGTCTCATTGATTGGAAATTGGGAGAAGGAGATAAAAAAATGGTTGGGTCCAATGAGATTGCAACCTTTATCTGCCATTGGTTCTAAAGATGAAGTAAATAAGTAGGTCAAATATTTTTTATATTCTCCATATAATCTATTATTGACTTCATATGAAACCTTCAGAAATATTTGTAATGAGATTGATAAAGTTATTGATTTACTAATTTGTGATGAAGGGCATAGATTGAAAAATAGTAATATTAAAACAGTTCAAGCCATGAATCAGTTGAAGTGCAAAAGAAGAATAGTTCTAAGTGGAACTCCAATCTAAAACAACATGAAGGAGTTTTATGCTTGTTGTGATTTTGTCAACCCAGGAATATTCTCGTCTTATAAGACTTTTAAGTTGGTCTTCCAAGATCCTATAGAAATGTCTATGGAAAAGGGATCGAGTGCAGAAAGCGTTGAATTGGGCAAATTAAGATCATAGGAATTAAGCTCATTAACAAGTTAATTTATTTTGAGAAGGAAACCTGAAATTTTGAGCAAAGTAAGATCTATTCGTTTAACAATAGTTTTTACCTAGCAAATTTGAGTATCTGATGTTTTGCACAATGACTCCATAATAATAGGTGCTATATAAGAGAAGTTTGCAATTGTGTCCAAATTCTGTTATGATGTAATTAAATTTATTGAGAAAAGTCACTACCCATCCTAAACTAATTGAAGATGATGAAAGTCAAGCTGCAGAAAAATTGGTAGTTCAAGATTATTAATCAGTTAAGTTCAATTGTTTAAAAATTATAGTCGATCAATGTAAAGAACAAAATGAAAAAGTAGTCATCAATAGTTATTATCGATAAACTTTGGATTAGATTGAACACAATCTCATTTAATGGAATTTGAAGTTCCTGAGATTGGATGGAAAAGTAGTGTAAAAACAAAGACTCACTTTGGTTGATGAATTTAATAAGGATAAAGATATTACTGTATTTTTATTGAATGGAAAATCAGGGGGCACTGGATTAAATTTAGTTGGAGCAAATAAGATGATATGTGTCGAAGTTGATTGGAACCCTGCAAATGATTCTTAAGTTATGGGTAGAATCTGGAGAGATGGTTAATAAAAATAAGTTCATATTTATCGATTAATAACATGTGGAACCTATGAAGAGAAAATTATGCAAAGACAATTAACTAAAGAAAATTTATCTTAAAACATTGTTGATGAAAAATCATTATAAAACTAATTTACTACTGAAGAACTCAAAGATTTACTTACATACAAGGATAGCCAGAAATGCTATATCTTTGATCAATCAGACAAATTAGAAGCAGAACATGATTATCCTACTGATTTAAATAAATTTGTTGTATTAGTTAAAATTCATAAAACCTAATCTTGTATTCCAAATGAATTTGATAATTAAAACACATTTTTAGAGAAAGCAATTGAGGAACCCTAAAATATCCAATATCTAGATAACGATGAAATTCCGGAATCTCAAGATGATAACTCATAATAAGAACAATAAGAGTAATAAGAAATCTAAGAGCCTCCAGAATAAGAAGTGTTCAAAGACATAACTAATCAACTTCAAAATGTTAATCTGCATGAACAACATGACAAAAATGACGAATAATAGGCAGATTTTCCTTTAGCTAAGATAAATATTTGTGATTTATCATTTTTGGATTGACTTATTGAAATATGTAATTTATATTTACTGAATCCAAATCATTAAAAAAGGCATTATTAATTATTAATAAGTTATTATAGAAATGAATCTAATGGATAGCAACTTAAAATATGATTTTATTTAATTTATAATTTTCGAAACTAATGATTATTTTATTTGCAAATAATTTGATATCTTTCAAAGTAGAAAACTTTCACATCCGCTTGCTTAATATAAGAAAAAAATAACAAGAATAATTGTCAATACTATCTTGATTGATAATTTCATATCATTATTAGATTATTTGATGTTGATTGATTAACCACTTTTATTCATCTATTACTCTATGCCTCTTATAGATCGATGATTTAAAAAGTTTTATATTACTTGTTTTGTCCTTATTTCATGCTATTGCTGTCTCTGCTTTTCCATTATAAGCGATACCGTCTCCTTAACAGTAGCCTATATTTATGGATTTGACCCCAACTTTTTTTTAAAATGGTCCGACAATTTAATATTTTGTGTTAGTTTTGGAAATTGGACCAAAATTTGCAAATACTGTTTTGTGGATATGTAAGTCTCCCCTTGATATACCTATTCCATAGATTTTCTGTTCCTGTATTTTGTTATTGTGGATTGTTTATTCGAATAAGCTCTAATTTCTTTGAATCCGACTTTCAAAGTTTTCGATTCACAAATTTAAATGATTCGAATTACATAAAACTTTTAAAACTTAGTTTCAAAAGCCCGGTGTTGCGACATTTCTCAGATAAAAATAATTAATTAATATATTGAATATGATGGAAAAACTATTTTACTTTCATTCTGTTTAATTAAGAATTAATACTTGTCATTTTTAACTTATGCATTTAGAAATATCTAACGTATCATCGATGCTATTCCTCTTATTTTAGCCATTTTGGTATAGAATTGCTTAATGTAAAGAATTGAAATCAATAAATAAATTCAAAATATATATATAAAATCCCACACTTATTTAAAATAAAAACAATATTACAATAAATTAGATTTATAAATAAGTAAGGTATTTTCTTAGAAGGATTCTTCTCGGGGGGGGAGGGATAAAAACTACAGAATATCGAATCATCAAAAAAGTTGGATTCTTTTGAGACGTAATTTACATGGTATTGTGATAAAGCATATTGATTTAATCCAATTTTAATATATAATTAAGTAATATAATAAAATCTAATTTTGTAATCGTCAATTAATTAAATACCTTGTTGTTCAATACACATTTGTATTACTAAAATTGGTACTTTGGTTTTATTTCCAGATCCCTTGCTTCGTCTTGATCGATTGTCGATATTGCTCGATGTTGTCGATACTTTGTTGCAAATTATCGAAGAATTGATTGTTTCTATCTTCGAATGCTCTGTCAATAAGAAGATAATCGGAAAGAATTCTATTTATTTTGTCTACTTATAAATAAAGGTTATATTGGAAGGCAGTGTCTTATAAGGGATCTTAATTGAGATTCCTGCCTCCCCTTTTACTCTGACTTACAATCATTTCTTCTATAGTTCCTTTGGTTTGGAAAAGAGTTTTGATTTTGGCGATAGTTTTTTCATTATCGACATTTTTGTCAACAAGATTAAGACACTAATTGAGATCATTCCAAATGGCAAGAATATTTTACTTTGACGATTGAACTTACACAATCTGTTTGGGTTGAGAAACCTATTTTTTCTGTGGTTGTTTGCCAGAACAGACTCCCATCTTTTAATATTAAAATATTTTAATATTAATTTATGAACGAAGACAAGGAATTTTAAAAGAAAGTACAAATAGCAGTGGATTCTGTATAAATCTAATCGAAAATTCTAGTATTTGGGAAGGAGGGACAAGCAATCCTAGATGGTTGAGTAGATTTAAAACGTCTTGGAAAGGGAGTAATTGATCGATCAAGTGCAAAAATTAATTGTAGAATTGATTACAAAATTGACAGAGCGTTTCATAACTAATGTACACATCAGATGATACAATTGTCATAGATGAAAAAGCAAGTGGAGAACGAGATATTGAAATTGAGGGAAACCATTCGATCAACTCATCAGAGAACCTATTCTGCAGTAGACAAAGAGAAGGTGGAAGATCAAGTACAAAGGACTCTGAATAAGCATGATGTTTAAATAAATATGTTATTGGAACATCAGTAATATAATTGTATTCTATATTGTAGAGCTTAATTGAAATAAATGAGATCGGAATCCACAGGCAATGAGAGTATTTTATTTAATATTAGTGAAAGAAAGAGTTGGAAAGTACTATTAAAAAGGATTAAGAAGCATTGAAGTCAGAATTGGAAGAGCAACTAAAATCTTACTAGAGGAATTACAATTGTATTTATATATGTTTAATCGGTATTAGAGAAGCAGCAGACTATTATGCAGATTCTAAATGATTTAGTTGTAAAGATAGAAAAGATTGAGTTATCACAAAGTCAGCAATAAGTGACTATTGTTTCAGATAAAAAGAAAAGGTGAGAATTAAATATTGAAAATAAATAAATTTAGTATTAAATTATTTTAATTATGGGTTCTACATTATCCAAAAAATAAGATAAAGCTATTATTATTGGCGGTTTGGGAGTAGCAGCATTGATAGGAGCGACATTATTTTTGTATTTTTTTTACATTCATTTAGAAAATCTAAACCAACTGAAGTAAAAGTCAATACCAATACTAATTCACAACAGTAAGATGTTCAATAAATAACCCTAAACTGCAGTAATTCCAAAGGAATTCAGATTTAAGGTTATGATCAACTATTCTAACAAGTCGTTAAATCGATATCCGTCGAAAAATAAGGTTAATTGATTTCAATAGCAACAATTACACAAATACTAGACAAATCATTGGACTTAGCAAAGGATGAATATGCTATAATCACTACGGAAAATAGAAAAAGTATTAACTATCAATTCAACATATTTTAGTAAGAAGAGCTCTTAGGAAGGCTAATAGAAATGGATATCAAAAAATGGTCTTGGATTATAATGAATAGGTTGAAAACTTATTGGAGAAGAAGCAAATGGAGATCTGTGACTTTTTACAAATCAAAGAAGAAGTATTTTAAGAAAGTGTGATGTCATTGATGGAAAGAGGATTCTATTAATAATTTTTCATGATTTAAGCCTCAATAAGATAAAAGATTAAAGATTCATTACCATCAACCAGAGAAATTACTTACGCAGAATTAAAGTAAATTATAGATTTCCAAATTCAAGTAATAAGATAGTAACCCAAAGAATTAAAGGACATGATCGCTAACTTATCTGTAATACCTTATATTCTATATGATTTAGGGCAATCAAGAAACATAATAATTAATCCCACTAGCAATTAATACTATTTTAGGTGATTTAGTCTATGAGAAATTTTAAATTGAAGAAGAAGATATGATGAAGATGTTTTAGAATTAATGTAAGAATTATATCTATAATCTAAGCCTTATTTAACGATCCCAGCCTACAATAAGCTATGAGTCAATTAGAAGAAGCGATGTATTAATTGATGTCCGCTTTAGAGGGAAATCATATGTGAAAGCATTAAAAAAATAATCATATATAACAATAATATAATATTAATGAAATTAAAATGTGTTTTCATTCTGCTTTACTATTTTCTCTACATATATATTTTGTAAAATAAGTCAAGCTAGTACTTTCAGCTGCAAATTCATCAAGTCAATTGGTTCTAGACAAACAGGACAGCACAAATGGGATTATAGCCATTTTTAAATGCATTTTTCATGGAATCTATGTCTAAATCATTGAGATCAATTAATTTACAATTAGTTACAAGGTAAATCAATAAACTAGGTTAAGTGTTTGATCTACATTGAACATAGATAGCAAATTTCAAACTCATAGTTGCTTTTTGTTTATTTAGTTAAATTCTAAACTATTTCCTAAATTTATATGATTTACAATTTTACGTTGTTCTCAATATTTCTATCAGCAATCATTAGATAATTGGCAAGCACAGCCCCTATGCAGAATTTGAAAGACAGAAAATATATAAATTTTAAGATTAGAGTGATAATACCCAACATAATAAAGCCTTAGAAAGTGTAAACTACAATAAAGGATTAACAAAGCTACCCCAATTGTAGAATTCCCCAAATCACCAAGACAAGATAAAAACTATTAAATTAATATGATTTTCTACATTTGGTTGAATTGTTAGAGAGAGTGATATTTGATGGTTCTTGACGCTTAGTCATTGTAATAATCCATTTGACTTTCGACTTAATCTATATCGGACATCAATTACCCGTAATAAGAGATTCTGCCAGCCATGGGATACTTGGATTCTCTTTTGATCTTAGTTAATCTTTTGGTTTTCAATTTGCTATCGAATTTAGCAGGTATGGTATTGACAATTTTAATGATAATTGCGATTTAGAAAATCTTATAAATTTAGAGTTCAAACTTACATCATGAATGAACATTAGGAAAAACCAAAGTGTCTTTTGATTTGAGCATCCATCTGAAATCAAAATATTGCAATAGGCCATAACCTTGATGAATTCGATAACCAACTATGACCAGTTGAGACATTTGGATTCTTCAAATTTTTCTTGGATTACTATTTTTAGATTTTCTTTAACCATTTCAAGATTGTTCTGAACAATTTATGGTGTTATGTATTCAACAGAGGGTTGTTTCTTTTGGTTGTAAATAATGTCATTTGCTTATATCTAATTTTCATTCAAATCGAATTTTATTGTTGGCAATTATTTTAGTTGTAGATTGGTGCTTTATTGCAGCAAAGATTGGATGATGTTATCCTTCCTTCTGTCCTCATCGATGGATTCTTCTAGAGAGATGCTCTACTTAGATTTTGATTTTTTAATCATATTATGGATAATAATTAGAAATCAAATATTTAGGAGCATATATTTAATTTTAATAGTAAATTATAGAACCTTCTAAATTAGAATTTTTAATAATTTTCTTCCAAAATGAGTTAAAACAGACTTCGAGAGATGAGAGAGAACTTTCATTCAGAGTTGAGAAAGAAAAGTTTAGAATAGACATTTAAATTGAAGAGATTGGTTACTACCTCAGTAAAACATTATCCAATTGAATAATTAATTGACATAGTGGACAAATTGAAGAGATATGAGGAATTGAACGACGAAGAACATTAAATAATGATATCAATTTTAGATGATATTCAACAGACTGCAATAAATGATCCATCTCTATTTTGTGAATGGGCAGAACACCTAAGAATAATAAAGACTTTGGTCGATTCCATGTGTTTAGGGTCGAATCCCAAGTATTCAATCATGGCAACTAAAGCAGCAAATTGTTTCAGATAATTGGTTAAATAAAAGAAGCCAAGATTCTATGTAAATGAACATTTCGATAAAGTTTGTGGGATTTACAAATCTTGGATGGATTCTGATTCAAGTTTGCTTAAAGAGAATGTATAAATTAACGAAAATATTTGTTAATAGGGATTGAGAGGATTGAATTAATTAGTAGAATTGCATTCACCCAAGTTCTCGAAATACGATATCGTTGAGACAGTGTTAAAATCTCTTCAAATCAATAGGAACAACGATTAGGCACTTAGAATATTGGCAACCATCACAAACAGCATAGATGATGATAATTAAGTGATTGCCATTTTGAGAATAGCCTCAAAATTGATTGAGAATGCTGACATCAATTGTAATTGATATCTTTGATTTTAATTAGTAAAGGAAAAGGGATTGATGATAGTAGAGAATGCCAGTAAAAACATCTAGAATATATAATTTGTTTTAACAATGAGGATTATGCAGTCTATTATGAATCTAATTTATCACAAGGATAAAAATATCTAAAAATTATCTCTATCTATTTTGCTGAATTTGTCATACACATCGGAATTGGATGAATGTGCAAAATTGTAGGATTTAGGAATCATGGAAACCCTCTACAAATTATTGAAGAACACCTAATATTCCTATTGTAGGATGTACGGAAGTATGATATTCAATAATTTGATGGCATCTTGTCAATTGAATTTGGATTCAATAATTTCAAATAAAAAGGTTATGGATGCTGTCTCTGATCTTATGGAAAGGGATATTGTCGATGTCAAAAGGGAACTCTATCAGGCATTCAAAAATTTTGTAGTTATTAGTTCGAAGAAGTAATTATTAATGGTGATGGATTCCGGGTTGCTGGATTACGAAGTCTTGGGTTTGGATGCTAATGACAATAAGATAGTGGTGTTGTCTTTGGAAAGTAATAGGTATTTTAATTAGGTTAGCGTTGACCATGATAATGAAATAATTTCAATAGACTGAATATGAATGCATTATTTGGCGATACTTAAAAAACAAGAGGGGGTTTAGGAAAATCGAAGTTCTGAGCTAAGATTCCAAAGTGGAAAGGATTGCCTACTTAGCTTGTGAATTCCTTAAAGAGTTTTACGATTCTGAATAATGATTAAATTAAATCTTTAATTAGTTAAATGAATAGGAATGTTTTATTTAAGTTTTTCGATCCAGTTACTTTAGCAGGTGATCAAATTCGAGGAGAATGCTTCATCAGAATTACTGAGGAAATACCAAAGGCTCAAATCGTTTTGACCTTTTAAACCAAGATGTATTCGAAGATCATTGAAAAAAGATAGGTAATTGTTTAGATTTTGAAATTAAGATACCGTATGATCAAAGCAATCCTTAAATGATCCCAGAGAAACTTGTAGAGAAAACTCAAAGAATTTAAGTCACTATGGATTCTCCTCTCAGACAACCCAAACAGACTCAAAAGAAATATGAGTTAAACGGCGAAATTATGTATAGAGTGATAAGAAACTATGGAACACTAGAATCTTTTGTCTACACTTAGGAGTTATATACCGGATAAGTCAAACCTGGAGATTATAAGTTTTAATTTAGCATTCCAACCTAATATAATATGTCTTCGAGTTTCTCATACAAAAGTGAGGATGGTAAGTATTCAACTTGAAATAGGATTGAAATAAGCCAAGTGTGGATATAAAGTGACTCTGAGAATTGATTTACCTGATGAGGCTAGAACTTTGATGATGGAGAGTACGGATGTCTTTATTAATGGAAGAGTAACCTCAGAAGGAGAGCAATTTAGGTAATGCGAAGGCAATATAGTTTAATATTTATGTTTGAATCGAGGAACTGTAGAACTATCCTTGAAATTAAACAAGAATAATTTCATTCCAGGGGAGCAAATGCAAATAGAATACACATTAGACAATACTCGTTCACAAAGATCAATCAGCAGAGTAGAAGCCAGATTGATCAATAAACTCACTTTTATTGATGATGATGAAATCGAAAGGGTTATTGAGAATGTTAAAGTGTTCCAATAGAATCTAGGAGGTGTCAATTCTGGTTAAAAATTGGAACGACAAAATGCTTCCCTAGAAATCCCCAAAAGTCTCAGAGCTACCATCAAAACTAGTGTAATCAGAAATTAATACTTTCTCTAAATGGAAGCTATTGCTGTAATATTACGATCTTAATCGCTCATTAGGATGCCTTCTTAACTTGGTTGTCAGTTCCAGTAGTTTGCCAAATCCCTATTAATATTCAGGAATCACAATTACCTCATAAAATTAATCTGGAAGGTTGGAATTTCTTGCCCATCATGAATGTCTCAGTCAATGCATTTTCCAATCTAACTGTTCAATAGTCATTTGTACCAACATGATTATTTATTATTAATTCATATACTCACATGGATAAAATAAAATCTCTTATTATTGATTTTGCTTAATACCAGACGGATTACCTTAGACCAATCCCAAATATTGTGACATCGGATACATTGTGGAATGACAATATTCTTCAAATGAATGTCCAATGGAATTATACTCTGGAAATTAACTATGATAAATTGAGTCAAGTCAAAGAGGTCATCCAAAAAAGCTGTACAACTGAAATCAGTGATGAAGAATAAAGAGTAAATGCAACCAACATATTTAAATAGCTCTTATTTGATTATCTCTCAAATGAAAAGGATTTACTTAAAAATTGCGGATTCACTTGTCAAAGACTACCTATCATCATTGAGAAGAACAAAGAGATTGCACATTTTCTCTTGATTTAAATATGCAATTTAGATGGCTTCGAAGAGTATTCACTCCCCAATATTTTAGATTCCTAGAAGTCTTCATCTAAACCGATGTCACCTAGAATACTCTTGAATTGTTTGCTCAATTATTTGGCGAACTCAAATTACCATAAGAATATATCACACAATACATTAACTACTGTATAGACTTTTGCAATAATATCAAAGTAATTCAAATATTTAGTTGATAGGAAAAATAACAATAGAACAAATTAGTTAGGTTTGTCTCCGTTTTTATCTAGCAGATGCTTAAATAAAAAGCATTCATCACCAAAGATATTCTGACTGATGTAAGAATAAATAACATTTAGTTATAAGCATTCTGCATTGAATTCTCCAAAGTTGGCGAAGTATCTAAGCTCTTCAAACTACTCAAAGGGCAAGATCCTGCCGCATAATGATATAATAATCATATCATATTCGTCTTTGTAACTAGTTGTGTTGTTTCAAATATTAATTATTATTATCATTAATAATGAACCACTAAAAATAAACATAAAATTATTACTCGTACTTCCAGTTAGAGAAGAGATCTTATGAGAATATGGATTATAGATTAGTGAAACTGCTCGATATTCATTTGTGACCCGTCAAATACGAAATTTAGCAAGGAGAGTACTCCTAAACTATTTTATTAAATCTCTTCTAGAAGTTCATTTAATTAATTAATTTAAAAATTGACAAATAAAGTCCAAATCATTTTGTGATTTTTTCAATAATTACTTATTGTTAACTTTTTGAAGATGTAGTAAAATATTTTTTAGAAAATATTAAATTTAGCTACTCAATATAGAATCTATTTAATTTCTCACTCATAGAGATATATATTATATCCTATTCTTCACACAAATTTTAAATTTTCCTGATTAAAAATATTTTTATGAATTTCTATTATGAATTATTATTATCGTCATCCAAATTTATAAGTTTCTGAGATTAGCATAATTATTATATTATTTATTTTAATTATTTGTTAACTTTACCTTTTTGTTAAATCTATACGCTTATGAAAAAAGAACAAGAATACCCTAAACTTTTGAATAAAAACGAAGAGAAAGAGTAAATTATTGAAGAACCACACACAGTCTTGATTAACCCACCTTTTAATTTATTATAGACTTAAAACATTTTTGTTTTTGAATTTAAGCCTAATGCTATGAGCTAACACAACCTATTAAGATTCAAGCATGCCTTGGCCAAAAAGATTATCAAAAAATCTAATAAATGAAAAGACTCATGATTTTTCCAATTTTTATTAAATACCTAACAAAATTATCGCCAATAACTTACTTAAAACTAAACTTTCATCACTTTCTCAATTTAAAATTCTTTTAATCATTCATGTAGGGCCACTTTAAAGCATGTTTAAATTTCCCAATTAATTATTCTGATCAGTAATACTTCTTTTTAAAAAATTTCATATTAAATACATTATTAGGGGCATTTTCAGTCAACAAAACAACTATGGATCACCCAGACTATTGAGATTCCATCTTCTCCTCTATTTCTCCTTAACAACCACTTAATATTTTAATAGTGAATTTTAATATTTCATAAAAGATGGCTGATTCGAATATTCTTTTTTTTATGAATGATTTGTTCTAATTTTATTTCTTACAAAATTGAAGAGTCTAAACAATAATGAGTTTTTGTTAAGTGCTTTTTGTGCATTTAGATACATCGCTAATTTATTGAAAGCATCTTTCAAAAATAATAATACAACCATATATTTAAAAATACATTAAAATGAAGAAAACCTTCTAATAAAAATAATGAATAGGAAGACATATTTTGAAGGCAGAAGTGAATTTGATTTTAATCAAAATGATTAGAGTATTGAACTTTAAAAAGGCGGTAACTTAATCTTCTTTTATTATTGATTATGTTCAAATAAAATTAACATGAGATGTCTTGAATTGTCTATTATAAGATTTTTCTTTAGGATCAAGGTTGAATTGGCGATATGATTAAATATGCTAGCTATATATTTGGAAAATCTAAAAATAAATCTCTAAGTTAATCAAATTATAGAAAGTCTAGATCTTAAGCTGTAAATTTAATTTTTCTATATTTTATGATCATAGACACTAAAAATAGATTAAGCTATTTTTTGAATTAAAATTAGAAAATGATATTTTAGATATACTTCGAAATAATGAAGTTGGTCTAGAGTGATTAAGTTTTCATGCCTTAGTGATAGAATATGATTTAGAAAATCAACTTGATATTCAAAAATGAATAAAAAATAGAATTTGAATTAATAAAAGTTAGTATTATGAATATAAATAAATATTATTATTATTAATATAATAATTTAATGAATTCAAGTTTGATTGCACGATTTTAGAACAGCGCAGTTGTTCATTATGCATAGCGAGGATGGTATTGGACTAATAGGATTGGAAAGTTGAATATTTTGACTGTTGCAGCAATTTGGTATGTATGCGCAGAAAGGTAATGAATGAAAGAAAGATTATTTAGTCAAATCGCAGGCCATTAAAGAACGACCTTATACAGACATAATTGGATCTAGAATCCCAAGCCTTCACGTGTGATCTTTGAGGAGAGGTTCTGAGATATTTCTATATCTATATTGGAAATAAAATATAATTATTTTAATCTGATATTAATTTTTCATTATTTTTGTGTTGTTGTTGCTGATGTTAAAAGGTTGTCTACTGGATTTGTACATAGAAACTAAGATTATAAAAATAATTAATACATTTGCTTATGGGTTGAGACATTAGTAGCAAACTCCATTATTTAAATAGTAGCCATATTTACAAATTGCACAAACATTGGTTCCAACAGAGTAACAATTAGTTTATGTTAAGGTGACGCAACCTCCATTCTAGAACACATACTCGGCTATGCAGGATGTACAAGTAGTGCCTGGAGCGACACAAGTTTGACATTCTGGTTGACATGCAAAGCAACTACTGGTAGTGACTGATGTAGTTCCAGAGGAAGTGGTAGTAACAAGGAAGTAACCATCAGCACATTTGGTACAAGACTAAAAATAAGTAAATTGTATTACATTAGCTTATTAGCAAATAGAGCAGTTGCTGAGACAATTGTTACAAGTGACAGTGTTATTGGAGGTTGTTGTACCAGTGGAATTATTGGAATCAGTTGTAACTGCAGTTGGATAGTAACCAGAGGAACAGGTTTAACATCCAGCAGAATTACAAACTTCACATCCTTTGACATTTGGACAGGCTGTACATCCAATGATGGTCAAATAATATCCAGTTATGCAGCAGCACATTATAGAGAAACAGATTAACTTGTTCCAGTGTTGGCGATGATTTGACATTTTACACATTGAGCATTGTTGATGTACATAATTAACATGAATTAACAACAATAATGTATCCAGTAACACAAGATGTGCAACCTGAAGAACCATTATTGGTTTAGCAAGACAACTTGATCCATTCAAATAGTAATTATCATAAGATTGAGTTGGACTTGTTGTAGAAACACATCTTAAATAGTTCTTACCAGCTACTGAGCTGCACAATGAACAGGATGTAATGTTATTGTTAGTGTTCCGAAAATAAGTATCTGCACAGGCTGAAAAATTTAACTAGGTTCCACTGTAGGAGCACGAAGTACATCCTGTAATTGTAGAGCAAGCAACACATTTCTTATTAGTTTAATCATCAGCATATCCTTGGGAGACACATTATGTGCAACTGTTATCAGCATCACAAGCTATACGACCCATTTTCCACTATATAAATAATATCCAGATGGGCATGATCTGCAAGTTGGTACTAATGATTAAGAATTTAGGAAGTATCACAAGTCAAACAATTTGATATTGCAGCAAAAGTTGAACAAGCTTAACAATGGTTGATTCTTGAATATGGATAGACCATATAATATCCAGAGAAACAAGTTTAGCATGATTGATTGTTTGAACAAGTCTAACATCCCTACATTCATGGTTGGCAACTTCCTTATGATCCATTTGATGGTTATTAAAGATATTATCAGGTTTGCCAGAAGTATCCTTTTTGACAAGTAGTACAAACAGGTGGGACCAGTACATGTAATACAATTAGATTTGTGCAGGCTGAACATTAGGAGGGGAAATTATTGAAATATGGATTTGCATTTGTTGAGACTTAAGAAGCAAAAAGAAGTTATACTACCAATTCAAGTTGAGCATATACAATATCCATTGGAGAAGTATTTTTACCAGTAGTTGGCACTGGTTTGCATGGAGAACAGTATTAACTATTCCAATAATCTCCATTGTCACAAACATAGGATGGATTGGATGATACTGCTACTGAAGCTGCAGGTGAAACTGTAACATTAGGAGCTTAATTGGAATAGGCTCTGCAAATTGACTAATAGAAAATAACTTTAGATATTACATTAGTTAATGGAGATAAACATTACAAGCAATATCCAATGCCATTAATGTTTAATAAATAGAATCCATATTAGCAAGCAGTACATCCTTTAGTAGAATCAACTACAAGACACTTGATCAACACATATGATACACCCTTACTAGTTTTGAGTAATGTATAGTTGAGAGAACATGTTTTGCATGGGGTAGCATCGGCACAAGAATCACAATTGCTAATGCAAATCTCACATTTTAAGTTGTTAGTGTTATAATAATAGCCCATATCACAAGTTTAACCATTTGCATTTGATGCCAATAGTTATTACTTTTCAGTTGCACCTTATGGAACACATTTATCAGTGTCCAGAAGTTAAATTAATCCAAGACCACAACAGGTTTCGGACCCTTAGATATCACTTGCTGTTGATTGACATGGAAGTCAAGATGATCCATTAAGGTAAAAGCCTGGTAAACAAGCTGGATGAGGTGAACATGTCACACTAGAATTTGCTCCAGAAACAGTTGCTGTACAGCCACCCTTATTTGAACTACAGTTGCAATAAGAACATACTCCACTTTAAGGAGGATTTGTTCTCAAAGCGGCTGGCAAACGAGATTAACATTATTTACCAGTAGCAATTGTTTGGCAAGTTTATAATTTCAGATTAGCTGCTTAAATGTTCTATTCTTTGGCTGATACACAAGTATTATTAAATAAGAAATATTCATTCTAGCATTAAATAATAGTAATTGTGCCGTTGCTCTTTGAACATCTTATGTAGTTTGCATCAAATGAAGAATACCACATTGAGCTGTATTTGTTGAACTTGTCACTGTATAACTAAGACAATTTGCTGGAGCTGACTTACACAATAATGAATCGTTAGTAAGTTTAGTATTTGTTGAACATGATGAGCAAGTTACAATTGGAGTATTTAACTATTGTAACTACACTTTTAACAATTGGTTATAGATGAAGAACATAGTTAACATGCACCGTTATCATCTTTATAGTAAGTATCAAAGCATTATCCAAATGTTATTTATGTTTAAGCTTAATCACTGTATGAACAAGATTAACATCCAGTTGGACATGCAATACAGCTTGTGTTTGATTTCAATACATAGTATTAAACACAATTGCTACATTAGACTTGATTATTAGTATAAGAACATTAGTTGGAAGCACAATTAACATCACATTTTTTGAATCAAACAAATAACCAGTTGAACAGGCAGTACATGTCAATTGACCACCTTAAGTAGAGCATGTTTAATATCCTGAGATACTAGTACATAGAGCACATGCCTAAATATTATGATAAATAAATTACATTTTAGATAGTTGTTTGTAAATAGATATAGTTATTGACAGTGTCACAGGTATCACATGTATCTGAATTTGAACAAGACAAGCAAAGGTCCATACATTTGGTACAAGTGCCTTTATTAGATTAATCTGATGAGGCAGTGTAATAATATCCATCTAAACATTTGTCACATATTGTTGAGTTCTAGCATTTTATACATTTGGTTATATTTGCACTACAAGCAAAGCATTATCCAGCATTAGCATCATTCTGAATACTGGACAAATCAGACTTGGATTATGTGGAACTTTAATAGTATTAATCATTATATTGAGCACAAGTATAACTATGTTAATTATAAAATTATATTGATACCCTGATGTACATATCTTATAATTATCGAGACATTTATTGTAAATCACTTAATTGATATTTAGGAAGTAATCCCATGATTACAGAATTTACAACTGGGAATTGGAGTGAAATAATAACCAACCACACAAGTATCACAAGTACCTGTTACTAAATTCATCTAAGCACAATTGTTTGGTTGAATACATATACCAGCTTTGAATATTCATTAAATAATTTAATTATTATTAATATTATTATTAATAATAAAATATCTTATTGTATCATACCAACCAAGAAATATCCAGCTGCACATTATGTACAAATTACAGATGTATTTGAATCGCCCAAGCATAATTACTACTACCTGTTGCTCTCACTAATATGTATTTAAGAATTAAGAACATAATGCATACGAGTTTTATCCATTTGTCAATACTTAGAATGTTGTTTTTAATGAAGAATCGCATACTTTTGTATCATGAACTCCATAATACTATTGACATTCTATCTTAAAAACTTTATTTCTCATTCTTAACATCTCCCTTCATTTCTTTCTAAGCCTAAAAGCATTTCAATTAGCATTTTCTTATCCATTCCCCTACTGATTATTCTTATTAACCGTCCGAAGTTTCTTCATATCAAGAAACCACTTTACTCTGCAATACACAATATTCATTAAAATATGGAACTCATTAATTTTATAATTTATCTTCCTAAATTTACAAATATCCAAATTTAGTGAATCAAACACCTAACTTAAAATTTTCTGGTTTAGGATGTTCTTCAGCGCTTTCGACAATGTTAATATACATTATATATCATTTTGGATTGAATTCTAAATATAAAACAATCAAAATCATCAAGATTTGGAATTGCCATTTTATTAAAAATTTGTGTTTTACTTCATAAAGTAATTCTTATTCAATTAATTATTATGTTCATGTTGTTTTGATGATTCAATAATAAAAAATCCGAATGTTAGTCTTCCATAATTAAATATTAAATATATTCATGAGACAAAAATAGTTTATTTACCGAACTTTAACAATCTGAATGTCACTATCTGCATATGGCATGTAGTTTGAAGGAATCTAATAATCAAGAATTCTAGGTTCTTTAGAGTTCTTTTGAAAATTTATTATGTACTTTCAACTGAATTATAATAATTAATTATAATACAAATGGCTTTTTTATTTGAAGAAGATCGAGGATTGACATAGATAAAAGATCCTTATCCACATCTAGGTCCTGGAGTGTATCAGATTCCAGAGCAGCAACCCAAAACTGCGTATGCTCCTTTCCTTTCAACTGGGAAGAGACAAGTTGAGATGACAAACAAATAAAAAACATAATTCCCAGGCCCGGGGTAATATGAAGTTTAGTAGAATATGGGGGACTCAGGAGTGCAAGCATACATGAATAAAAGCACAATCATAGTCAAGGTTTAGGGTAATGGGAGTAGTTCCTTCAAGAGTGGAATCGAGAGATTTCAACAGGATAAAAAGGTGAAGGAAGTAAGTTATAACTATAAATTCAGATTCCAGGGCCAGGACATTATGACACTGTTAAAAATAACTCTCAAAATAAACAAGCACCTTCGTTTCAAAATTAAAAATTAGACGATATTAGAAATCAAAATCTCAGGAGGCGAATTAACTCAATTCCTGAACCAAAATCATAAATAGGAATGGTTTATGAAGACATTGAAACTTTGGCTCAGCATCAAAGAGTACTTTAAGAGTAAAAGAAATAAAAAGTTGTAGGCCCAACTACTTACGAAATTCCACAGACAAAACAAGCAAAAGGTGTTTCTTGGGACAAAAGCACGAAGCCTCGATTTCAATAAGAATAATCTACGGATCTTGGACCTGGTAAGTATAGTGTTCCTGATGAAAAAAAGAAGAAAAACAAATCTCCAGCATTCCTATCTGAAACTGTTAGATCGTATTATGACAAATTAATTTATAAGACCAATAGAGAAATTAATGCTGGCTTAAGGAAATAAATTAATTACAAAGATCAATACTCTCCAGGACCTGGTTAATACAATGATGGTAGAGTGTCAATCAAAGTTCAAAAAAAGGCAAAGGAATTTCAATTTTTTGGTTCCTCCTTAGAAAGATTCAGACAGAACAATGAACAATCAGTTGGTCCTGGAGATTACAGAATTGAGGACTCTTCATTTGATTAATTGGTAAAGAAGAAAAATTATACTAACGCTACCTTTTTGAGTTCCACTGGTAAAGGCGATCTAATAAACTCTGATGAATAATTACCTGGTCCAGGAGCATATTATGTCTAAAATGATCTTTACACAGACTTAATTCGTAAATAAGACAGAGGGATTAGTGGATACTTGGGCGGTAAGGAGAAAAGATTTTATGATAAACCTCCACTTTGCAAGGCTGGGCCAGGAAGTTATGACATTAATAAAGGAGAGAAAAAGAGAGCTGTGAGTTCTTGTTTTAAATCTTCTTCCAAAAGAGATGCTGTCAATAAGAGTTGTGGTCCTGAAATTGGGTAATATAAATTGGATCAAGAAACCATTGGATATAGAATGTAAAAATAGTTGAAATTTTTAAAAAATCTATAAAAGATAGATGTTTAAAAACCTGGGTTTGATTGCGCTGAACCTAGATTTAGAGAGAATTAAGAAATGGTCTATAACATGTCTTTTACTGAAGCCAATCAATAACCAATAGGATCAGTCAAATAAGTAACTGCTCCATTTAAATCATAATAACCTCGTCTGGCATATATTAGAAGACAATTCACCCCTGGAGTTGGCAAGTATTAGGTTGACTCCAACAATTGGAAAATCAATAGTTTCAATACGCATTACAATAAAATACTATCAGACTCATGATTGTTTGTATAAAGATTTTCTATTAATTAAACAGATTTTATAATTTTATAGAACTATTGAAAATCATATAGGAGGTGTATAAAATGTGACTCCCTTATATTCATTTGGGAATTCTTTCAAATACATAATAATCTTCATTTTTATTTATATATATGTATTAAAGGTTTATGTTGATAAATTTTTTAGATTCAAATGAATAAAATAAATAATATAATATTAAATGTCAGAGAAATTGCCCTAGATTCATAAAGTGAATAAAAGCGACATTCAAAGTCCATTTCGTTATCCATCTGATGAAGAAGTGTTTTTGTTTAGAGAATAAGACCGTAAAAAGCAAGAGGCTCAAAACAATGGAGAGATGCATATATGGGACAAGAAAACTGCTACAAATAGAACTTAATTAAAGCATTTCAAAGTATGATTGTTACATCACTTTTAGTCATATGAGACTTAAATTGATGATAAATTTAAATCGAAAACTGCGTATAATGATAAGGATAAGAAAGTAATAAATGAGGCATTACAAATAATTCAAGAACGAAAGAAACAAAGAGCGAAGGGAGTATCAAAGGAACCTATTGTTACCCTTTTGGAATAGAAGAAGGAAATGTTTTTAGTATCAAAGGCTCACGGGATAATTGAGGAAGAGATCGATAAGTTAAAGTTAATGTCAAAGGAGAAGAAGGAGGCTTTGGAATAGAGTTTGAAAATGTTGGAAACTGATAATGAGAATTTCTAAAAGTACTTGGATACCAATAAATAACAAAAATTGGATGCAGAATAGAAAGCTGATTAAGAAGTGAAGGAGAAGAAAGCAAAGGAATCTGAGATCAAGTCTATCAACATAAAGATAACAAGTTTGAGGGCAGAGAAAACAAGGAATGAGGAGGCTGTTAATAATTATATGGATCATAAGAAATTCTTGGATAAATTGGCTCCGAAAGAGTGGCACGATGCAAAGGAGAAGAAACGATAATAATTAGTGAATAGATTGAAGGAGGAATTAATTAAAAGTAAGGGACTAACAGATAAACAATTTTAATAAATGGTAGACAATAAAAAGCTGTAATAAAATACAAATTGATATTTATTAGAGATGAGTTGGAAGAATTCGAAGATGAATATGAAATGTATTTTAAATAACCATCGTAATTGGTGGAGATATTTAATGATTTGGAAGAAAGAAATTTATTTTTAATATAAACTACTTAAGATGCAGAATAAAACTTGGAAGAATTGAAAACTAAATTTAATAAAATAAAAAAGTCCCTTGATGATAAAGTATTTACACTGCAATAGAACAAGGAGCAATTGAAAAAGAATTATGAAGTAAATGATATAACCAATATTTAGAATGTGTGTTAACAAATTAAGACATTGTAATTAAAAGGAACAGAGAAGAATGCTAAGAAAGATCATAAGGAACTGAGAAAATAAATAATTGAAGTTTGTGAAAATTTCCCTAATGAAATTCAAGGAGTGCATGATTTATAAAATAAAGAGACCTTGGATATCTTGGTTCAGATTGAATTGCACCTAGAGAGACAGTTGAAGTAGATTCGATCGTTTCGACCAGATAGAGTTGAGAGCTTTGTAAAAACATAAATGATAAATGTAGAGATAAGAATGTGAAAGAGATTGGAAGGTTAAATAAAGGGATTCAAACAACTTAAAATTAAAGTAGGAAGAAGAGAGAAGAATCAAAGCCAATTAAGAAAAGATAATGTAGCCAAGCAAGAAGAAAACTGGAAGATAACCTATGTTTCGATCTAAACCATTTGATAGAGTCATAGTCTAATAAGAGGAGAGTGTTAATAATGAGGAATTGGAAGATTAAAAGTACTTCATGGAATGAAGATTCCAATATTCAAACAGTTGATTATTATTATTATCTATAAAATTTAGACTTACCTTCTTTAGCATTTCTGACATTGATCTATAGTTAAAGAATCAAATTAGTTCCTTTGATTGAGGTTAGTTTTGAATATATTTTATTATTGATAATATCATTTTTATTAAAATCAAATGAGTTATTGTTTTTGATATGGCTAATTAACAATATTATCATGGAATTAATTGTTTGGGCTGGAAGTTTCTTTGTAATCATTGCCTCATTAATTGATAATTAATTGAAGCAATAATATTTTATAAATAATGATATAAAAGTGTAAGGAGGGTCTTAGATAAATAGATATATTTGGATAAACAATTAACTTGAGTTTTAGATAGGAA